GATCGAGGAGCTCAGAGACATCACACAGTCTTATTGATATCCTGGCTGCAGCAGCTCCATCCAGGCTGGCCCTGCCCATCAATGAGACCGTGATGGGACCAATCCAGGCCCTGTGGCAAACTCCTCCTTCTTTGGTTCCCACTTCAAAGAGGGCAGAAAAGAATTCTGTGCTGGCAGGTGAGTTTGAACACCTGCACTCGCTTTGCTGGGGAGATATGATTTTAATCTGTGGGACTCCCTGAATAAATTCAAAGACTCCCTGCCCCAAAAGTCAAGACAGGAGTTTGCAGCCCTCCTAGAAGAGGGTTAGAACGTGGCCAGGACCTCTCTCCAGGCAGCTCTGCATGCTGCCGACTTGGCAGTCCAGACAGTAGCCTCTGTGGTCACCATGAGGTGCTGTTCCTGGCTCCAGTCCTCTGGGCTTCCCAATGAGGTCCAACAGTCCATCCAGGGCCTCCCCTTCGAAGGCTCCTCTCTTTTCTCGGAGCAGATGGACACAAGACTTCATGGACTGCAGGGCTCTATGATCCTTAGGCCCGTACACTCCGTCTGCTTCCAGAAAGCACTTCAGGCCCTAGCAGCCTACTTGGTTCTCGGCACCTCCAAGACAGGAGCCTTACAAAAGAAACGGAAGGAGTTATAAATGGCGCCAACCATTTCTGCCCACCTCAGCCTCCCAGTCGGGTCTCAGAGATACTCTGATCGGCCCAAGCAGGCCTTTTGAAGGTGTGCCCAATGGCGCTATACCAGTCACAGTGTCAAATTTGCCTCCCCTTTTATTTTTGGACCGTCTGTCGCTCTTCAGCCTGGCATGGTCATTCACAACATTGGACAGTGACAGCTGGTTATACCCTGAAGTTCCTGCCCTCCTCTTTCCCACCAATACCGCTTCAGGGACCTTCTCGCGATCAACTCCTCCTCTAGGAGGTGTGTCATAAACAGACAGTTAAGAAGTTCACCTAGCCTAGCTGACACCTGACCAGAGGAACCAATGGGGGGGACAAGATGTTTCAAGAGGAAGGAGGGAAGTTCTTCCTTTGTTCTATTCATTAAGTTCTGTGCCGGAGTGAAAAGACCCAGGAATCAAACAGGGTAGTGAGTATTAGAGAAGGAATGTATTAGCTTATGTTTATTTCCTTTTGTGACTTGTTCTTTTTGCATAGAGGGATAATCAAATTGGGTTTTCTTTTGTGTAACTAAGGATTTTGCCCAGGGGAACATACTCTGTGTTTTGAATCTGTTGCCTGTGAGAGTAGCTTACATGCTAATCTCACAGAGGTATTCCTTTCACCCCTTTTCTTTAATTAAAAGTCTTCTTTTTAAGAACCTGATTGATTTTTCCTTGTTTTAAGATCCAAGGGGTTTGGAACTGTGTTCACGAGGAAGTTGGTGGAGAAGTCTCTCAAAGCTACCCAGGGAAGGGTTATAGTACTTGGGAGGGAGATATTTTGGGGGGAAGACAGAGTTCCCAAATGACTCATAAACGGTTGTTTAAACGATTTGGTGGTGGCAACATACTGATCTAAACTGGTAATTAAGCTTAGGGGTTGTCATGCAGGTCCCCACAGCTGTACCCTAAAGTTCAGAGTGGGGGTGAAACCTATGACAAGGTATAATTCCCCCCTACGTATGGGGGTCATGGAGGACATTCCTTAAGACTTGAGAGGGAAGAGGTTCTACTCCCAGTATTTCCTAATGCCAAAGGGGACCTCCAACCCATCTTGGACCTGTGTTCCCTCAACAGATATCTCAGGAAATTGAGGTTCCACATGGTCTTCCTGACCTCCTCCATTCCTTGCCTGGATCCAGGGGACTGTACACTGTCCTCGACTTGGAGGACTCATACTTCCACATTTCTATCTTCCGTGACCAGAGAAGATTTTTCAGGTTTATAGTGTGTTTAGCGCCACTAAAAAGTCACCGCCCTTTCCTTTGGCCTATCGGCAGCCCTGCACATTTTCACAAAGTGTATGTTGGTTGTTGCAACCTTCCTCAGGTGGCGAGGCATACAAGTCTACCTGTACCTCAACGACTGGCTGATCCAAAGTTGGTCGCAGGCTCAAGTACAGAATAGCATCAGCACGGTCCAAGCCACCTTCTGAGCACTGGGCCTGCTGATAAATGAGCAGATGTCAACTCTTGTTCCAGTTCAGAGAATGGAATTTATTCGGGCTGTGCGCAACTCAACCCAAGCCAGGGCATTCCTGCTGGAGGCCCGTTTCCGGACCATGACGGACCTGATATCCAATATCATGGCCCACCCTATCACAACAGCTCAGGCGTGCCTCAAGCTTCTGGGGCACATGGTGGCTTGTACTTACATGGTTCAATACACAAGGCTGCACCTCAGGCCCCTCCAGGTGTGGCTAGCATCACTTTACTCCCTGAGAAGACACCACTTGGACTCAGTGGTTATGGTCCCTCCCCTGGTTCTCGCCTCCCTGGGCTGGTGGAAAGATCCAAGATCGGTAATAATGGGGGTGCCCTTTGTTACCCCACAACCATCAGTATCCTTAGTTTCGGATGTATCAAACGTAGCTTGGGGAGCCCACCTCAACAATTTCAGGACTTGGATTCTCTGGTCCCAGGAAGGAACTCTCCCTGCACATAAACATCAGGGAACTCAGAGCAGTGTACTTAGCATGCCAGATGTTCCTTCCCCAGATCTCAGGCAAGGTAGTACAAGTCCTGACAGACAATACAGCACCAGGTTCTATATCAATAAGCAAGGACAAGCTCGATCCTCAACCCTGTGTCAGGAGACCATCCATCTATGGGACTTCTGTGCGAGACGCTCCATTCATCTCTAAGCTTCACATCTCTTGGGGGCCTGGAATGTATTGGCGGATCACCTCAGCAGATCCTCTTCTCACCACGAGTGTCCCCTTCATCCGGAGATCACCAAATTCATCTTCCAAAATAATAATAATAATTAAAAAAAAATATGGAGATATACCTATCCCCTAAAACTGGAAGGGACCCCGAAAGGTCATTGAGTCCAGCCCCCTGGCCTCACTAGCAGGACCATGTACTGATTTTTGACGCAGATCCCTAAGTGGCCCCCTCAAGGATTGAACTCACAACCCTGGGTTTAGCAGGCCAATGCTCAAACCACTGAGCTATCCCCCCCCCCCTAAAAAAAAGTGGGGGCCTCCCCAGGTGGATCTGTTTGCCATTAGGCAGAACAGAAAATGCCATTGTTTTTGTTCGCTGCACGGCACAGCCAGGCTCCCTCTCCAGTGCCTTTCTGCTGTTGTGGACAGACCACCTACTGTACACCCCATCCCCTGTGCACACAGTTCTTCTAAAAATTAAGCAGGACAAGGCATGAGTTATCCTCATAGCACCAACATGGCCGTGCCAGCATTGGTTCAACATGCTCCTGGACCTCTCGGTGGCAGCTCCGCTCTCACTCTCACTCCCACTCCATCCGCACCCGATTTCTCAAGACCACAGCTGGTTTCCTCATCCGAATCTCACCTCCTTGCACCTAACTGCATGGATGCTACATGGCTGAACCATGAAGAGCAGGTCTGCTCAGAAGAGGATCGGCAGGTCTTGCTAGGTAGTGGAAAGCCTTCCTCCAGGACTGCTTACTTGGCCAAGTGGAAATGTTTCACTCGTTGGGCTTTTGAACATGATCTCTATCCATCTCGATCTTTCCTTCAGTCTATCTTGGACTGTTTGCTCCACCTAAAACAGCAGGGCCTGGCCCTCTTGTCTATTAAGGTACATTTGGCAGCCATCAAACCAGTGTGGGGTTTTTGTTTTGTTTTTTAAGTTTGGAGTTTTCTCCTTTGGGACCCAGTGTCGTACACTGAACTCAAACAGGCAGTCCTCCTGTGCTTCTTATAAGCATAACATTTTAATGCATAACAAAAAGGGTGGCTGGCAGGATATGATCAAATCATACACCAATACATTTAATACATGCTACATTATTATTCTTTATCCTTCATTCTAAATTATATAAAATACAAACATAAAATCATACTACTACACTCACAACTGTCATAGGATTCGTTTCCTAAGTGAATTCAAGAAATATTCTTCCTTCAGTTAAGCAGTCCAGCCCTTAGGAGCACTGACAGTCTCAGGGCAGAGTAGTCACATCTTGAATATTGAGATTTGCTACACAGATATCAGACCATCAATACATAAGTTCACCAAGTTTGTATATTGGTCATCCAGTCTTAGCCAATGCCTTTGGGGGGGGCGCAAAAGTCTTTGTGAATTGGTGTCCAGGGGGAGATGGAGGAGTTATTTATGTATAATTTACCTCGTTTTGAGTGTCCACATTTAAAGGATGATCCTGCTTCCCACTCTGGAGACACACTGCTTTGACAATCCCACTGTAACAGCTCTGTGGACCTTAGCATGAAGAAGAATAGGAAAGTTTATCCATGCTTACTTGAAAATTTGCTTTCTTCAAATATTAAGGTCCTCAGATCCTGGAGACAAATGGGTCATCCAGAATAGAGAAGGAAATTGACATGCAAGGATTTGGGGTGGTTGTCATTAGGAAGAATTTACCATGCTCAGCCGTGAGAGAAATTGTGCTTTTTCCTCAATTTGTAATTTAGGAAAGTAGTTTTGAATTATCCTGGCTGTGGAAATTATCTCAACTAGAGGGAAGGAACTTAAGGAGGTGGGGCATTCTCCTACTGCCAATGATTGACAGGTCTGGTTCTGCCCCCAAGCTGCAATCAGGCTGAAGTACCAATTCTAGTGGATCTGTTGACCTTATTACTCAAAGAAAGGACATTTTTGGGTAAGCACAGATACATTTTCCTATTCCCATGAATAAACATTATTTCCAAATCATTGTCCATTGCCCAAATGTCTGTCTTGGAGTGAGTGGTTAATGAGCTGGTCAGAATTCCCAGGTCCTGTTACTAGAAGCCAGTTTGTTCGTATGTAAATCATAGGATAAAATCCACAGGGCTGTTGCCTGAGGTTCTGTTTTGAGTTCTCATATTTTGTTCCGGTTTCCATTGCAGTTGCAGCTGGGAAGAGTGACTCGGGTTCAGAAGCACCGGAAGATCTTGAGGGCAGCAAGAGACTTGGCATTAGATACCCTTATAATTGAATATCGAGGAAAGGTTATGTTACGGCAGCAATTTGAGGTCAATGGGCATTTCTTCAAAAAGTAAGACTGCTATTCACTGACCAGTGTGAGAGCACAGGGGGCATGGAGTGATTGAGGACCGCTGGGGGGGGAACCACACACTGCCAGAAACCCTGCCACAAGGAGTCTTGCAGTTGTGCCATGCATAGAAAAGTAAAAAAGATACAAAACAGCACAGATCAAGTTGAAGGAGATTCCCACAACTGAGCCATTCTTTTTAGGTGACAGATCTGAGGAGCTGTCCCAGATTGAGGTGTCATTAGAGGAGGTTTTGAAACAAACTGTTAAATTAAACAGTAATAAGTCAGGATCAGATTGTATTCACCGAAGAGTTCTGAAGGAACTCAAATGTGAAATTGCAGAACTGCTAACTATGGTATGTAATGTATTGCTTAAATCAGCTTCTGTACCAGATAATTGGTGAATAGCAAATGTGACGCCGATTTTTAATAAAGGCTCCAGATGCCATCCTGGCAGTTACAGGCCAGTAAGACTAACTTCAGTACCAAGCAAACTGGTTGAAACTACAGTAAAAGAACAGAATTATCAGGCACATAGATGAACATGATTTGTTGGGGAAGAGTCAACCCAGATTTTGTAAAGGGAAATCATTTCTCACCAATCTACTAGAATTCTTTGAGGTGTCAACAAACGTGGACACGAGTGATCCAGTAGATATAGTGCACTTGAACTTTCAGAAAGCCTTTGACAAAGTTCCTCACCAAAAGCTCTAAGCAAAGTAAGGAGCCATGGGATGAGGGTCCCCTCATAAATCAGTAACTGGTTAAAAGATAGGAAACAAAGGGTAGGAATAAATGGAGAGAGGTAAGTACCGGTGTCCCCCGACGATCTGTACTGGCACCAGTGGTGGTAAACATATTCATAAATTATCTGGAAAAAGGGGTAAGCAGTGAGGTGGCAAAGTTTGAAGATGATACAAAATTACTCAAGATAGTTAAATCCAAGGCACACTGGGAAGAGTTACACAGGGATCTCAAAACCAGATGATTGGGTAACAAAATTGCAGATGAAATTCAATGTTGATAAATTCAAAGTAATGCACATTGGAAAACATAATCCCAGCTATACATACAAAATGATGGGCTCTGAATTAGCTGTTACCACTCGAGAGAAACCTTGGGATCATGGTGGATAGTTCTCTGAAAACATCTACTCAATGTGCAGCAGCAGTCAAAAAAGCTAACAACATTAGGAACCTTTAGGAAAGGGATAGATAATAGCACAGAAAATATTATGCCACCATATAAATCCATGGTACGCCCACACCTTGAATACTTGTGCAGTTCTGGTTGCCCCGTCTCAAAAAAGATATATTACAATTGGGAAAGTATACCTGGGGAGGCAAGAAATGATTAGGGGTATGGAACAGCTTCCATATGAGGAGAGTAAAAAAACCGACTGTTCATCTTATAAAAGAGATGACTGAGGGGGGATATGATAGAGGTCTATAAAATCGGGACTGGTGTGGAGAAAATGAATAAGGAAATGTCATTTACCCCTTCACATAGCACACAAACTAGTGATCACCCGAGGCAATTAATATGCAGCAAGTTTAAAACCAATATAAGAAAGTACTTCTTCACACAGTGCACAGTCATCTTGTGGCACTCATTGCCAGGGGGTGTTGTGAATGCCAAAAGTATAAAAAAGAATTTGATAAGTTCATGGAGGATAGATCCATCAATGCCTATTAGCCAAGATGATCAGGAACCAAAGCCCATGGTCTGGGTGTCCCATAACCATTGTCTGCCAGAAGCCGGAACTGGATAAGAGGGGATGGATCACTCGATAAATTGTCCTGTTCTGCTCACTCCCTCTGGGGCACCTAGCACTGGCCTCTGCCGGCAGACAGGACACTGGGCTAGATGGGCCATTGGTCTGACTCAATATGGCCGTTCTTATGTGTTTTTTCATTTATGGAATAAAAATCGCTTCTTTTTCTGGGGAGATCTGTTGTATGATGAGTTAGGAGCTGCAGGAACTGCCTGAGTGAAAGAAGCAAAGGAAGAGCTGCTTCCCATCCTCCTGTTGAGTAAGGAGTGGCTGTTCTGTTTGTGGTGGGAATTGAGTCTGGGGGATTACACGGATTTGTTACTTCCGCAGGCCATACCCCTTTGTGCTGTTCTACTCGAAGTTCAACGGTGTTGAGATGTGTGTGGATGCGCGCACCTTTGGCAACGACGCCAGGTTCATCAGGCGTTCCTGTGCACCGAACGCAGAGGTAAACTTCCTGCTCCCTCTTGGGTGCAAACACAGGCCAGCAGGCACCTGGTTCAGTAGAGCCCCTTTCACGAGCATCCAAGCCCTGAATAGAATGCAGTGGCCACAAGTAAAGTCAGTAAAGAAAAGGGAGAGAACTTGATAACCCAGCAGCGGGTTGTACAGATTTTTCCCATTTGGCTGCCTGTAGGCTGAAGATGGGGGACAGGGAGGGAAGAGGTTGGGGAGCACAGGGCCTTTCTCCTGAAGACCTAAGAGAGCTAGAGAAGGGGAGACTTGTAGGTTTCCTCTGGTCAGGGCATGGGAGTGGTCCAGGATAGGACAAAGTACAGGATGGGGAAGGGCAGCAAAGCAGGCTTTTTTCTAGGGCAAATTGAGAGGGTAATTTTAGCATACCATGCAGGAACTCCCTTCCTGGTAGCAGACTGCCCCCTTTGGAATGAGGAACATCTCTCTTGGGGTGTCAGTTTCTGTCTGCTTTGTTTGTGAAGGTCCGTCATGTGATTGCTGATGGAATGATCCACTTGTGTATCTATGCGCTCGCCTCCATTGCCAAGGACACAGAGGTCACCATCGCCTTTGACTATGAGTACAGCATCTGGTGAGTCCCTCATCTCACCAGCCTGTGCTGGTGTCCTGGCACAGACCTCCTCCTCCTCCTCCAGCCCCTTCCTCTTTTCTTACATTTTGCTCCATTATCTGCTGAATTGTATTTTTATATATTTATTCTGCCCATTTCTACTGGTCTCTTCTGTGATAGAGGCTGGAAGGTAGCAGGCTCTCCTTGCTTTGGCACCTGGCGAGATCTGTAGTAGCAGATGCATTGAATGTCTCTGTAAGAGGGCTGAGAAATGAGGAGTGACACAGATATGTTTGTGTTTTGGACCAGCAACTATAAAGTGGACTGTGCATGTCACAAGGGGAACAGGAATTGCCCTGTACAGAAACGGAACCCAAATGCTGCAGAACACCTACCTCCACCTATTCTAGGCACACTGATGATGGGGGCAGAAACAAGGCGTCGGAAAGCCCGTAGGAAGGAACTAGAATTGGAACAGCAGAGCATTGCATCAGATGAGAACAGCAACCAGCAAGCGGAGGAGGTTCCAGAGGGACCTGCTGCAGCCAGCGACAATGAGGTAAAATTTGACACTTTATAATGCCAGGTGTTTGGTCAGTCACTGTGGAGGAATTTGGTCCTACAGGGTGCTGATATCTCTAGAACCAGAACTGCAACAGCTCTTTCTTAAGCCTCACTCTAGTGAGATACCAAAACTAATCCTGGTAATTTTCCAACTGCTCTATATTTTCATTTTGCAATGGTGACTGTTCTGAGTCCTGGCTTCTCTCTGCTCTCTTCAGGCTGCAGATAAAGAAGAGAAGCAAGAGGAGGGGGAGAGAGAGGAGGTTGTGGATGAGCAGGGAGGCCTGGCTCACAGCAGACGGGTGAGTACCTCTTCTACTCTGTTCCGTAGTTTCGTTTTTGTGACAGGTGTATAGGATGGAGCAGTCACGCAGGGCAGATTGGTTGTTTCTGTTGTTCAGTGACATGATTCCAAATATTCAGAAATCACTGAATTTTGTCAGGAAGGGTGAACCAGGCAGATTTCACATCCGAGGGTGTCTGTACACAGCTGGTTAGGCTCCAACAAGTTAGAGATGAAAAAATCTAGCAACCATCATTTGCTTTGGGGGACTGTCCCACAGCCTACAACATCCAATTGGTAAGAATGTTTTTCCTTTCTTGGTTTCATTCAGTTAGTCCTAGCTCCTTGGTCACTAAATAATTTCTCCTTACTCCCTAGTGTCCACACACTTCAAAGTAAATATTGTTAGGTTACTATCATGTCCCTATGCCTCCTTCCTCCTCCTCCCTCCCTCCCTCCTTTGTAGCCTAGCCAAGCTTATATATACTTAGCTGTTTTAATCTTTCATCACACCCATACATCAATCCCTACAGGTCCCTGATCATTTTGCTTTTTTTGAATTCCCTCCAACTTTTCTGCAAGGTTACTAGCTAATGCCCTAAGAGGCATGTCTTCCCCACATCTTTTATTAGTGATCCTTGTTTTACACATACATGGTTATAAAAGTCCTTCTTAGTCTGCTTAGATTTTTGGGAACACACAGTCTGTTTGCTCTTTTACTGCCCTTTTCCTTGCATCCCTAGCTGGTTTGGTTTTCTGGTGTGGTTACTTGCTGTTTATCCTCAGATCTTTGAGGAGACCCTTGAACCAACACTACAATCCTTGCATTTTTCCCAAAGATTTGTAGTCTATGTGCCTTCTCTATAGCATCTCGGTTGGTTTTCTGGATGGTAGTTTTCTGTACGACTAAGAACTAGGTTTTTTAAATGTATGTACTTCAAGAGGATGTCTATCCTGAGATGTGTCCTTGACATTAATTGAAAGTGCAATGAAAATAACAGTACATACTCCATCCCTCCTTGTATCTACCACCAACCAGCACATATATCACAGTTCAAAATCTCCCACCTTTCCTGTTCCCCTAAAATGCTTTAGCCCTCTCCGAAATGCCTGCTTTAACAGATTGGGTTTGTTTCCAGTGGGGTCCTGCAGGGATCAGTTCTTATCCCTACTCTTATTAACATTTTTATCAGTGACTTGGAAGAAACCATAAAATCATCATTTGTAAAGTTTTCAGATGACACAAGAATTGGGGAAGTGGTAAATAATGAAGAGGACAGGTCACTGACTCAGGGTGTTCTGGGTCACTGTGTAAACTGAGTGCAAGCAAACACTATGTGCTTTAATCCAGGTACATGTAAATGCACACATGTAGGAATAAAGAACGTAGGTCATATTCACAGGATTGAAACGAAGGTTGAGTTTCGTAGGGGATTCAGGCAGATGATGGAGAGAAGGCAAGACGAGGCTGAAAGGAAATGTCAAGACTCGCAGATGCAAGCTGGACTGGAGAACTGTGAGGGTAGACTGCTGGGTGAGGAAAATGGCCAGTGGAAACATGTGGCTACCAGAACCGGCAGAGGAAAAGATCAGCTAGTGAAGGAGAACTAGAGCTCAGGAATATGTTTGCTGGGTTGGAAAATGAAGAAGAGATGCATCAGGCGTAACAGAAGGTGGGAGGGCAAGGAAGAAGAGAAGAGCAGCTATTCCTATAAGAAGAGGGAAAGAGTCAATGGGGAGAGCCACAGTTTGGTGCCCCAGGAGGATACCGGATAACTCACAGAAGATTGCAAAAGAGAACAAAAGACAAGAGGACTTGCAGTCAGAAAGAACAGGAGAAAGGCTGGAGAATCACACCAACACCAGGAAGAGGCAGGTCTATGTGATTGATGACTCCCTACTAAGAAGAGTCACCAGGCCTGTCACCTGATCTGGAAAACAGAGAGGTGTGCTGTCTGCCAGAAGATAAGATACAGGATACGGAACTGAGGCTGAAGAGGATCCTAATGGGGTCAAGAAAGAATCCACTGATTGTCCTTCACATGGGAACAAATGATACTGCTAGATTATTGCTAGAACATATCAAAGGAGATTTTGCCAGGCTGGGGAAGACACTTAAAGAAATGGAGGCTCAGGTGACCTTCAGTGGGATTCTGTCTCTCTCTAGAGGAGGAGAACGAAGGCAAGACAAGATTATGATGATCAACAGATGGCTCAGGCAGTGGTGCTATAATAAGGGCTTTGGGATGTTTGTCCACGGGGAGGCCTTCGTGGATAGAAGACTGTTTTCAATGGATGGACTCCCCCTGAATAGGGAGGGAAATAGACTTCTGAGGTGGAGATTGGCGCAACTGATTAAAAGAATTTTAAACAAGGAACTCCGGGGAGACGATTGGGAGATGCTCAAGTAATCTCTGTGCCTGATTCTAATATTGACCAGGAGGAAAAGAGAAAGAGCAATGGAGAAAAGAATAGCAATGGAGAAAAGAAACAACGGTGAGTAAGAGAATGGACATTAAGAGGAAAGATATTGCCAATGCCAATGAGGCTAACAGTCAGGTAGGCGATACTGGCAGTAGAATGACTACCCAGTCGGGTGAGGAATGTGGGCAAAGCCAAGCAGAAACAACTAAATTGTATACCAATGCAAAGAGCCTGGGTAACAAAATGGAGGAACTAGAACTACTGATGCAGGAAGCGAAAACAGATACTATAGGGATAACAAGAAACATGGTGAAATAGTAGTCGTGACTGGAGTATAAGGGTTGAAGGGTAATGTGCTGTTCAGGAGAGACAGAAATAAAGGTAAAGGTGGTGGAGTAGCTCTGTATATTAATGATGAGGTAGATTGTAAAGAAATTAGAAGTGATGGAAAGGATAAAATGGAGTCTGTTTGGATCAAAATCACTTTGGGGAAGAAAGATACCAGAGGTTCCCCTTGGATAGTGCTTGGGGTCTGCTACAGACCCCCAGGATCCAATTTGAGACGTCTTTAAAGTTTTTAATGAAATAAATACTACTGGGAATTGTGTGATTATGGGAGACTTTAATTTCCCAGCTAGAGATTGAAGGATAAGTGCTACTAATAAATAGATTTTCCTGGATGTGATGGCTGATAGATTTCATCACCAAATAGTCGCCGAACCTAAAAGAGATTATGCCATTTTAGATTGGTGTGGTGAGTAGTGAGGACCTCATAGAAGGTTGTAGGGGACAACCTTAGTTTGAGTGTTCATGAGCTAATTCAGTTTGAACTAAATGGAAGGATAAACAAAAATAGATCTGCAAGTGGCATCCCCCTATTTTCAAAAGGGCAAACGTCACAAAAATTAAGGGAATTAATTAGGGAAATGGACTCAATTGAAGAACTCCAGGATCTGAATGTGCAGGAGACTTGGGATTACTTTGTCAATGTTGCAGAAACTATCTGAAGCCTGTATTCCAAGCAAGGGGAAAACATTCGTCGGGAAGGGTTGCAGACCAGTCTGGATGAGAAAGCAGAAAGCCTACAAGGAAGGAAAGACCAGATGGATCAGCAAGGAAAGCGACCTCTTGGAAGTCAGAAAATGTAGGCAAAAAGTGAGAGTTACCAAAAGCCAACCAGAACTTGACTTTACAAAGGAGATTAAAATCAATAGTGAAAGGAATATAGCCATATAAATAAAAAGAAAACAAGTAAAGCAGAAGGGGGACCGCTAAGCACTGAGGATGGGGTGGAGATTAAAGATGATCTAGGCATGGCCCAACACTTGAACAAATAGTTTATCTCGGTTTTTAATGAGGATCTTGGGAATAGTGGCAGCATGGCTAATGAAAATGAGGATATGAAAGTAGAAATTACCACATCTGAGGAGGAAGTCAAACTCAAACAGCTTAATGGGACTAAATCGGGGATTCCAGATAATCTCCATCCAAGAACATTAAAGGAACTTGCGCATGAAATTGCAAGCCCAATAGCAAGGATTTTTAATGAATTTGTAAACTTGGGGGGGTCGTACCCTATGACAGGAGAATGGTTAATATAGTACCTATTAAGAAAGGAAAAAAGTGATCCAGGAAACTTCAGGCCTGTTAGTTTGACCTCAATTGTATGCAAGGTCTTGGAACAAATTTTGAAGGAAACAGTAGTTAAGGACATAACGGTGAATGGTAATCAGGATAAATACAACATGGTTTTACAAAAGATAGATCATGCCAGACCAACCTGATTTCCTTCTTTGAGAAGATAACTGATCTTTTAGACAAAGGAAATGCAGTAGATTAATTTACCTCCATTCAATAAGGCATTTGGTACAGTTTCACATGGGGAATTATTAAATTGGAGAAGATGGGAATTAATATGAGAATTGAAAGATGAATAAGGAACCGGTTAAAGGGGAGGCTACAATGCGTCATACTGAAAGGTGAACTGTCAGGCTGGAGGGAGGTTACTAGTGGAGTTCCTCAGAGATCGGTCTTGGGACCTATCTTACTTAGCATTTTTATAAATAATCTTGGCACAAAAAGGGGAAGTGTGCTAATAAAATTTGAAGATGACACAAAGTTGGGAGATATTGCCAATACAGAGGAGGACCATAGAAGATCTGGATGACCTTGAAAAGTGGGGTAATAGAAAAGGGATTGAATTTTAATAGTGCAGAGCGCAAGGTCATGCATTTAGGAACTAATAACAAGAATTTGTTACTATAAACTGGGGACTTATCAGTTGAAAGCGACAGAAGAGGAGAAAGACCTGGGTATATTGGTTGATCACAGAATGACTATGAGCTGTCAATGTGATGTGGCTGCAAAAAAAGGTTAATGCAGTCCTAGGATGCATCAGGCGAGGTATTTCCTGTAGAGACAGGGAAGTGTTAGTACCATTATTAAAGGCACTGGTGAGACCTCACCTGGAATACTATGTGAAATTATGGTTTCCCATGTTTAAGAAAGATTAATTCAAACTGGAACAGGTGCAGAGAAGAGCTACTAGGATGATCCAAGGAATAGAAAACCTACCTTATGAGAGGAGATTCAAAGAGCTTGACTTCTTTGACCTAACCAAAAAAGGCTGAGGGGAGATATGATTACTCTCTATAAATACATCAGAGGGATAAATGCCAGGGATGGAGGGGAGGTATTGAAGTTAAGCGCCAATGTGGACACTGGAACAAATGGATAGAATCTGGCCATCAACAAGTTTAGGCTTGAAATTAGAGAAGGTTTCCAACCATCAGAGGACTGATGTTCTGGAACAGTCTTCCAAGGGGAGCAGTGGGGGCAAAAAAAATCTAACTGGCTTCAAGACTGAGCTTGATAAATTTATGGAGGGGATGGTGTGATGGGACTGCCTACAATGGCATGTAGCCGATCTACAACTCCTAGCAGCAAATATATCCAGTGGCCGGTGATGGGACATGAGATGGGGAGTGCCCTGAGTTACTACAGAGTGTCTGGCTGCTGGGTCTTGCCCACATGCTCAGGGTCCAACTGATTGCGATTTTGGGGTTCGGGAAGGAATTTTCTCCCAGGTCAGACTGGCAGAGACCCTGGGGAAGTTTCGCCTTCCTCTGCAGCATGGGGCACGGGTAACTTGTAGGTTTAAACTAGTGTCTCTGTAACTTGAAGTCTTTAAATCATGGTTTGAGGACTTCAGTAACTCAGACAGAGGTTAGGGCTCTGTCACAGGAGTGGGTGGGTGAGTTTGTGTAGCCTGTAATGCGCAGGAGATCAAACTAGATGATCGTGATGGTCCCTTCTGGCCTTAAAGTCTGTGATTGGGGATTCTCTCCTGACAAGCAGTGACTCTGAAAAAGATTTGGGTGTCATGGTGGATAGTCAGCTGAACATGAACTCCCAGTAAGAAACTGTGGCCAAAAGAGCTAATGTGATCCTGGGATGCATAACCAGTGGATTCTCGATTAGGAGTCGAGAGGTTATTTTACCTCTGTATTAGGCACTGGTACGACTGCTGCTGGAATCCTGGATGTATAAATTGGAGAGAGTTCAGAGGAGAGCCATGAGAATGATTGATAAGCTCAAAAGCTTGTCTCTGTCATCTACAGAAGTTGGTCCAATAAAGTTGGTCCTCACCCAACTTGTCTCTCTGAAGGATTAGAAAACATGCTTTATGGTGATAGACTCAGGGAGCTTAATCTATTTAGCTAAACAAAGAGAAGGATAAAGAGTGACTTAATTAGTCTGTAAGGACCAACATAGGGAACAAATATATGATGATGTTGTTTTTTTTCACTCTAGGAGAGACAGGTGTAACATGATCCAATGGCTGGACATTGAAGCTAGACAAAGTCAAATTTCCAAGAAAGTGTAAATTTTTAATCGTGAGAATACTTAACCCTTGGTAAATTATTCCAATGGATCTGATAGATTCTCCATCAGTGATTTTTTTTAAATCAAAATTGGATGTTTTTCTAAAAGATCTGCTGTAGGAATTATTTTGGGGAAGTTCTCTGGCCTGCGTTATGCAGGAGGTCGGACTAGATCAGTGGTGGGCAACCTGCGGGCCATCAAGGTAATCTGATTGAGAGCCATGAGACATTTTGCTGATGTTGACCGTCCACAGGCACGGCCCCCCACAGCTCCCAGTGGCCACGGTTTGCTGTTCCCGGCCAGTGGGAGTTGTGGGAAGCGGCAGGCCGCAGGGACGTGCTGGCCGCCGCTTCCTGCCCCTTCCACTGGCCAGGAACAGCGAACCATGGCCACTGGGAGCTGTGGACAGTCAACGTCAGCAAAATGTCTCACGGCCCACAATCAGATTACCCTGATGGGCCACAGGTTGCCCACCACTGGATTAGATGGTCACAATGGTCCTTCTGGCCTTAGTCTATGCATCAATTAACAGATGGGCTTTACAACATGCCCAGAAAATCAACAGATTCAGGGTATGTCGGACCAAGCAGGGTGGGAAGCAGTGAATACAAAAGTTGAAGGCCCTTCATGAAGGATGCCCCATCAGCAACTCTCATAATGCTAAGATTTCTGCACTCGAATGCCCCACTGATACCAACTGAGGCAATAGTAAAACGTCTGACTTCTGTTGTTCATGTTGGAGATACATGTTAGGTTGTTTGGGTTACTTAAAAGGTCTCCTCGTCTCCAAACAAGTCTGCCAGTGCTAATGCCAGGAGACTGGTCCCTTCCTTGTTTCAGTTGAGACAGTCTGATTCAAGCCGTCTCCTTTCATTATGAGGCATTTCAGTTCTCTATGAATCCATAATCCCCCTCCCCTCTTCTGCACCATCACCTTTGTGGACCATATGCTGTCCAGGGCCCCTCCCCAACACTGTACTCCTGATCTTTTTCCTACCTCTTCCTGTCCTTTTGCTTGCCTGGTATTGCTGACCTGGACATATTCTTGTGTGTGCTAGTCCCGGGAGGAGAGGAAGGTAGAGGCCATTATGCACATGTTTGAAAACTTGGAGAAGAGAAAGAGAAGACGAGAGCAACCATCAGATCGGAGCAGCACGGATGCCGAATTCATCGTTAACCCTGAGGCTTCTGAGTTGGAGGAGGTGAAAATGGAGACTCCTGAAACTGAAGACAGCAGTTCAGCTTTAAGTGGGGCTGCTCCAAGCACTCCTAACAGCAGCAGCAATGTTGGGGTGAACACACGGAGGTCCACACAGTCAGTAGTAAGTTGGAGGTAGGGCTGTTGCATAGCTTACACCAAGGCGAGTTCAACACAGCCCCTTTGGTGCCTTGCAAGGGTTAATATCTAATGGCCAAGGGTCTGGATCTTTTAGTGCACTGATGTGCTCTGCAGCTGGCTGCTGACACTGGAGCCATGGAGAAAGGTATTCGCACCGTTTCAGTTAATAAGTCCATGCTGGATCTGAATTCCCATTGCCAAGTGTCCCGTGGTGGTGGGGCTGTGGACAGATCACTGTCTGGGACTGAATCAGTGCTATCAGTGCTTAGGAATGGCAACGGTTCCTTTCAGGCAGGGGGTGAGTCTCATGCTGCAGCTTTCTGATACGTGTCTTGTTGAAGCTGAGACCGCTCCTGAGTGTGCCAGTTGGTCCCTTTTCCAGATTCCAGAGTGGAGATGCAAAAGGGAGAAAAAGCAATAAACTAAGGCACAAACGTGTCCAGCCCTTCAAGAGGATTCATAAAGCCATTCCCAGCCCTACCCTTTCAGAGCCCAGCGTTAATGGGGTCCAGTCTGACAGCTAGCTAAACAGTGCCAGAAAATAACTGTCATTCCTAATTCCCATGTGCAGAATAAAGGAGAAGAGGGGAGAACCTTAGAAATTCACAGACTGATGATGTGGTTTGCATTGTAGGATGCAATTCCAGAAAAGACGATCACTAAGCCAGCTCCAGCCAAACCCTCCAGGCCCCGACCCAAAAGCCGTTTTTCTCGCTATCGGACCAGTTCAGCACAAAGATTGAGACGGCAGAAGCAGGCCATTTCCCAGCAGACTGAGCTCTCCCAGGCTGTCCCAGAGGAGGGAAGCAGCATCAGCTCAGTAACTGCTGCAGATGTCAGCAGCATCGAGGGTCCAGGAGAAAGTAGGCAATTGATGGGGTCTGACCCAACTGTGATGCTGGCTGCAGGATCCCAGTCCAACCGAGCCACAGTAAAGTACCCCAAAACTAAAAAGGTAAGTGGTGTAAGAGTCTTCATCAAACGTGGGAGGGGGTGGGCTCTGCCAGGCCCCTAGAGAGAAGGTTGGGTCATGCCAAAGGAGTCTCTGGAAGACTTGCAGTGAGTCTGATGCACAGTGCTAACATGGTTCTCCTCCAGCGTGTTTCCTGCAGGACATTGCTGCTCTCTGTGATGAGCTAGATCAGGTGCCTCACCTCTGTGCATTTCCTGCAGAACATAACTCAGCTCTGGGGGTGGTGGTGTCTTGGGCAGTACGCCCTTACATACTCTGTTTTATTGCTTTCATTCTTCGCCAGCTCCTGCTGTATTCATAATTGCTCTCTTCTTCAGTATCTAGTTACAGAATGGCTGAATGACAAGGCAGAAAAGCAGGAATGCCCCATCGAGTGTCCTTTACGTATTACCACAGACCCCACTGTTTTGGCAACAACCCTCAACATGTTGCCAGGTCTTATCCACTCCCCACTGATTTGTACCACACCCAAACACTACATCCGCTTTGGCTCGCCTTTCATCCCTGAGAGACGTCGAAGGCCTCTTCAGCTGGATGGGATATACAGCTCCTGTAAAAAGGTACGTCTGCTCATTTCCTCTTCTGTCAGGGCTTCAATACCCACGTTCTATTATCATCAGCGCATGCTTGTAGAGGCTTGTCATGTCAAGCTTGTCGCTATGCAGTCACAATGAGTTAGCCCTGCCCAGCATATTTCTGCATACTCTAGCGTAGTGTTTATCAACAACTGGTCCGTGGCAACCTCTTTGCCAGTCCCTGAGATTTCCCTGACAGTTTAGAAAGGCAGCAAGCCAGTCCCTGGAATCAAAAAGGTTGAGAAACACTGCACAGAGTAAGATGTCAGTGGAGTTGAGGGTGAGGACATGGTGTGTTAGTGCATGTTCTCAGTCTCCATTCCCAGAGCTCACAGAAAAATGAAATAGCAACAAAGAAGGAGATTGGAGTCTGGGTCTGAATGTGCCAGAGTGCCCCTTGGAGTGGGTGTGCCAGGGCTGTACAGGAAGCAGAGAAAGAAACCTCTCTTCTCGTGTCTAGAGGCGTGGAGGAATTGCTCAGGGAGCAGTTCAAGGGTTAGAGAGCCTGGTGTGCTCCGCACCTGAGCAGAACTCTCCTGGCCCCTCTGAGATCCAGCGCACTAGAGCCCGGGCTCTCCTGTGCCTAGCAGGCAGCCCCAGAGCAAAGGGAGAGGAATGGGCTCGTGCTCTTGCGGAGTTGGACTCGGAAGCGGCCAGCCTGTGGGTGAGATCCAGGCAGGGAGACGGGTTAGTTCTCACTGCCTCCTTTCTGGAGTGAGGGGCCAGCTTAGCTGAAAGGCTGAGATCATCCTCTGAAACTCAGTCCCGCCTCTCCCAATGTGATGATGGGGACGGTGATGACTGGGCAGCTCCAGGGGCAGCCACATGCTGTGGGATTTTTCATCTTCCAATGTTGCTGCAGGTCCTAACCTGATAGAGAGGTCAGTATTCTGTATGATGGATTCCACTGTTTTAATGAGACTGTAGGAACTGGATTTGGTCACAAGGTGTTCCTGACTCCACTACATGGATTAGCTGGTTGGACAGGATTGCAAGAGTGAATCCCTGTATTTCTTATGAGCTGGTCCTAGTCAGTGTTAGGAGTAATACAGTTAGCCTTGAGGTCTCTCCTGTTTACAGTTCTACGGAAAGTGGTTATGTCACTTTTGATTATGTATGTCAGAGTGGCCAAACCGTGGCTTGCGAGCTACATGCGGCTTTTACAGTTAAAGTGCGGCTCACAGAGCCCCCTTATGTCCCCCCCCCCCCATTCTGCATTCTGCACCTACCAGACGAGGGGGGAACTCCGAGCCTCTTCCTTGCAGAGCTTGGGGCTTCAGCAGAAGCAGGGCTGAAGCCCTGGCAGGCACCTCCCGCTGGGCTGAAGCCCTGAGCCTCAGCAGGTGTGCCCCTGCTCTTGAACTTCTGAAGATTGTTGTGTGTGGCTCAAAGGGTCAGTAAGTTTGGCCACCCCTGATATATATGAACTTGTAACACTGTCATCCAACCATATTTGCTCTGTCCTGCTGCTTGGCTGAAATTTAGAATGAATCCAGGCAGATAAAATGAAGATATTGTATTGTAAGCAGTGGTCTGGAGGAGTTCGATATTTGTTTGTAGTGTTGTTGTAGCCATGTTGGTTCCAGGATATGACAGAGACAAGGTACGTGAAGTAATACCTTGTATTGGACCAACTTATGTTGGTGGAAGGGACAAGCTTTTGAGCTTCACAGAGCTCTTAATCAGGTTTGTAGAAGGTAGAGTGTCCAAGCTAAATACAAGGTGGGGCAGATTACTAAACATAAGAGGTTCACACATGCTGTAGGAGGCCACTTAAAATGAAGTGGGCAATTAAGGATTAGCAGGCAGTGAGGTGTTACAAATTGTTCTAATGAGCCATAAAACCAGCGTTTTTAAGTTTTATGATTTTTGTAAAAGCAGCAGAGAGTCCTGTGGCACCTTATAGACTAACAGACGTATAGGAGCATGAGCTTTCTTGGGTGAATACCCACTTCTTTGGATGCATGTCGTGTCATTTTTGTTCCCAAATTGAATGTAGAATGGTAAGTTCTTGTAGGGGTCAGATGGGGCATTGTTACCTCTAAATGTTTGGTAGCTGCACTCTTCTCTGTCTAGATTCTGGCCTCACCATGCTGAGCCAAGCCTTTGTGGGCTCTGTGTTGTATTACTGTACTGCACTGTATTTAGGGATCCCCTTGAAAACTATTTGTAGGCTTTAGCTTTTACAGAAGGTGGTAGCATAGCTGCTCCAGGGCCGCCTTGTGTCAGAGATGCACTTCATGTGAGCTGCTAGATCTGCTGATTGTCCGGCAAGCATGATTCAAGGCTTTTTAAATTGTTTAAAGTGAGCATGGAATGTGTAAGTTCCACCATTTGGATTGTCGAAGGAAAGATGCCCCTGTGGCTTGCTGATCTGGGAGTCTGCTAGATCTGGGTGGTTCTTCTAGTTTTTCCAGACTTGGTGAGTTACCTTGGTCAAGTCCTCTGTGCCTCAGTTTACCCATCTGTAAAATAGGATTACACCCCTCAAGAGGGTGATATGAGGCATAGGTTGGTAAAGTGCTGTGAGATCTTCAGAAGGGACTATATAAATAAACATCAAATTCAATGCTAATGTGGTAAAAACAAGGCCACTGCACTTCATTGTCTGTTTCTGAAATGCTGACAAATCATTGGTGTTATCTTTAATTCTGGTGTTTCTCTCCCTTTCTTCTCGGGTTTAGTTTCACTATCACTTTACTGTCACACCAGTGTGGTCCTTAGCACTTTTTGGCTTCTCTCCCCAGCTTCTTACATTACTTCAAATAACTGGAATCAGTTGGAAGAGATCTTGTGCTGTCAAAGGTCACTTGCTGCAGAATTTTGTGTTTCCACACAGCTGCATTGCAGCAGGTGGGGAAGCCAGTAAATTTGGCAGGTGAGGTGATGTAGATTGGCTCTTCTCCATGTATCCATGGGGAATCATCTTCTCTTACTCTATGCTCTCCCCTGCTATGATTTTTCATATATTTCCCCCCCCCACCACTGCTCAGTCTCCTGAGGGAGGGTCCACTTTAATTTTTCTCCTCCTGGCTAGCCCCTCTTAAATTGTAGTTCCCACACTACCAGGTTTGCATGTTCATTGCTGCTCTTTGACAGCAAACACAGTCCTGGGAGAATTGCACTAGAGTCAACTTGTCACTTCCTTGCGCTATGTGGTAGGGTAGAAATTCTTCTTGGTTCTGATGTGTCTTCCAGAGCAAGTGGAGTGGGGATCAGAGTGCTTCCCCACCTGTGCATGAGGCTGCGCTTTGTGCAGAAGGCATATTCTCTGGGCAAGTTCTGAATAGCCAGACTTTCCTAAAGTGCTTTTAAAAACCTCTGCTTAGAGTTCCCTAGCTTCCTACTCTCTGGGTTTGGGAAGTCTGTGTTCTAATGAGGTTGTACCCTTAGATTATTGATACAGATTTATTACCCTTAGCACCTGTCTCATCTAGAGCAGCAATTCAGAACCATTCATAGTAGTCTTTGGGTCCAGCTTTAACAATTCTATCATACCAATTGTTTTGGCTGGGCGCACGGTGACACAGTTGATGCAGAGCTCTGCAGGCATTTGCCCTGCTATACAGATGTTCAGGGGTTCTTGAGTACACCTGCATGTGTACATGTGAAGCGCTGGGGGACTGCATGCTGACGTAGTCTAGTTCTGTTGCAGCGCTGGATGAAACAAGCCCTGGAAGAAGGGATGACTCAGACCTCATCTACTCCACAAGAGAATAGAACCCAATGTCTATACCAAAGTAACGAGAGCAGCAGCTCTTCTAGCATCTGCAAGGACAATGCAGGTATGTATCCAGAACCCTCAAGTGCGGTGCTGGGATGCCTGGTGAATGCATTTATAGGAGGCTGTGGGCCATTAAAGGGTATTGACACACAGGATGAGACAAAGGCTTTGCAAACATGTATTGTTGCATGTTGGTACAGGTTTGTGGCAGGTGGGGATGTAGCTTTATCACCCATCCCAATTTCCATAGGCTCATCCTAGCTTGAGGCATCCTGACTCCTTTGCTGTGACACTGTGGTGATATTGCATCTCTCAGCACTCTCACCAGAGTTGTATGATACAGAGTTTGTCCTGCACGACAAAGGTAAACAGCGTCATACTGTCATGTGTGACAGCTGGCTATTTTAATGTATGCTGAGAGAATTAACAAGGGTCAGCAGGTACATAGGTAATAGGCACAGGCTTAAAAAACAGCTACTCAAAAACATTGGCGTTTAATCTGTGAGAAAAGCAGTAGCCGAGTTGTGAAATAGTTAATTTGCATCTGTCTTTACAGAGGAAGAGGGTGGAGATCTGCCCAAGTCAGGGATCAGTTTTCCAAGGACGACAGACGAGGAGCTAGACAGTGTACAGATAACAACAGAATTGGTTATTAAAAGGTTAGATGCACTTAAAGTGAACAAAACACTAGGTCTGGATACTATGCATCCCTGAGCAAAACCTGAAGAAAGTGAGCAAAGAAACTAGAGAATTTCTAAAAGACACTTTTAAAAATAGAATTTAGGATAGGTTCCTGAGGCCTGGAAAGGGGCAAACAGCATCACTTTACAAAGGTCATGACACCAGGAAACAAAGAGCATCTTGTTTCTAGGGTTTCCCTGATTGACGTTAAGGTCTTGCATAAAGGACCTGACAGTTTGGTCCTAGGAAGCCCAGTTGGCAGCTGGCTTTGCCAAGGTGGATTCAGGCAGCAAAGCGTGTGTGTGTGTGTAACAGCAGGGGACCTGAGAGGGTCTCACTGCTGAGAAAGGGGAAATAAGGGATCAGCAGAGAATTGGTCTAAACAACGGACAGGATTCAACATCTCACACAAGTGGCTCATGGCAAACCACAGGAGTAGGAGGAGAGACAGGGGAACTGGCTAGAAAAGTGTGGGAGCACGAGACAAAGGGGGCTCTTAGTAGGAGACTCACCCAGCTCCAGAATGGCTGAGTGGAGCATTCAGGGTGGTTCTAGGACCTCTACTCCTCATGGAACTGCACTGGATGTGAGGGGATTGAAAACAAGCTCTCTGGGCTCACAGGCCAGACTGACTATGGGACACCGCACATAATAAGGACGCAGGGAGATTCCAAAGGGATGCCAGGGTTTGGAGGACTGGACAGTAGTGAGGAAATGCAGATCAATGGAGACCAGTGTAAAATCATGACTCGGGGAGAAAGGACTGAGTCTAGGGAATATGAGCTAACTGGACCAACCACAGGACACTCAAGATGATTGTGAGGAAGCAGCAAACCTGGCAGCCTGGTAAAAAGGCAGATAAAATACTAGGCATAAAGGCAGAATCCCAGATGAGGTGCCCCTGTTAGTCCCTGTCTGTGAGCACTGGGTACCATCTGACAGGAAAGAGATTACTGCCCTATGGGGATCCTGGGTCTGAAGAAAGGATGAGTCAAATTTCTTCTGCTTGGAACAGAGGAGACTTGCCTCATTGGGGGCCTTTAGAGCTGGGAAAGCGGTCAAAATTCATTCAGAAACACTAGGGGCCAAGATCTAGCAGTGAGGATGCTAGGGATAAACAGGTCAGGAAAAACATGTGGGGAAAGATGCTGGGGAAGGCAGCTGCAGCACGGAGGAGTTCCAGAGGGGTCCAGGTAAACTAAAGCTCAGTAGTTGGAGGGGGCACGGCTGGGAGTGAGGAAGCAATTTGGGCTAGGCACTCTGATGTGGAAGGGGGATAATGGCATTGAGGCAACTGGAACCCTACCCTTGCACCCTGCACAGAGGAGCTGAGGGCACGGTGTGATAACACTACATGGTAGTAATCTGGAAATGTCACATTGTTTTTTTTTCTCTCTAGTGTACAGCTCAGATTTCCTGCCTTGGCAAATTATTTTCTGTATCTCAAAATAGGTTGTGCTCTTCACAGAAAGCCAGGCAGAGGCTAGCCGTTGCCCCAGAGAGCTTACAAGTAATTGAAACGTGTGGTGCCGTGCATTTCGGAGGGTAGGGCTGAGGCAAGGGTTCCTTTTTGTGGGAATGATCATTTCCAGGGCGTTGTGTTTATGCCATTGTGGAGCTCAGCTGGTGAGACGTGTGCTGTGGTTTATCCATAGCAGTCATAGAGTGAATTCGTCTTGTTTTTGTCATCTCTTTGAGCCAGGAAATGTAATCTCTCTCTCGCCTTCTGTTTCAATCCTGTCCTGACACCACTCCCCACACCTGGCCCTGTTGTTTCCCACATGTCATTTATTGTAACTGAGTTGTTTTGTTACCTTTGTTACATGTCTCCATGTTCATTTGGGATGAGAAGGATTTTCACTGGTATTGGGAGCGCCTCATTTTTTAGGGGGCCTTTAATGGGATGCAATTAGAGGCTGAGCATTTGTGGGGCTCTGGCTGGGACGGGGACTGTTCATGGTTTGGTATTAATAATGGTGCATCATGATTCTCAGTTCAGTTGTGTTCATGTTTCACAGACTTGCTGAGCCCCCTGAAGAAGTGGAAATCTCGCTACCTGATGGAGCAGAATGTTACCAAGTTACTGAGGCCACTATCTCCCGTCACGCCTCCACCTCCTGGCTCAATGAGCCCACAACTCACCACACCCTGCTCATCTCTACCAGGAGAGGAGGAAAGTCGCAATGGTTATGGCATGATGTTTTCACCAATTCCCTCTCTGGCTGCTAGTCGCTGCAATACTCCACTACAGTTTGAGGTAAATTGGGATAGAGGTCTGGGGGCTCCAAAAGGGGAGAGACTAGAAGAGGTGCATTGGGTGCAGTCTGCTTTCAGACACATGGCTAGGTTCCTGAGCAAGACCCCAAGTGTCCCACACAGGGGCAGCTATTACCTCTCCCCTCTGTGGCACCCTTGGCTGTAGCAACTCTCTCGCTCCCCAAGGCCATCAGAGATGTGGTAGCTCCTGCTCCCTCTGTTACATGTCATACTTCGCTGCAGTGCAGCAACCCTCTTGCTCTCCAGGGGTACCAGTCAGTATACCCTGCATTCCCTTTCCTGCTGTACACAACACAAAAGCTCACTTTTGCTTGCACCCCTCCCCTTGCTGCAGCACAGCAATCCCCTCGCCTACTGAGACAGCACATTCCCCCCATGCCCTTTCTCTCACAGTGCAGCAAACCCCAAGCTCTCAAGCACGTCAGACATACCACAGCCCCTGCTCCCTTTCTCTAATGCAGCAGCCCCCAAGGCCTTGGGGGACATCAGACATTTCAGATCCCAGCATTGCAAGGGCTTACAGCTCCCTCCACCCAGTGTTTAATGCCCCAGGTGTACTGTTTCTTGTTGTGCTCCTGTTATATGCATTTGCCTTTGATTTTGTGGTAGCCTCTATCTGCAGGAGTTTAGGAAGCATTTAAAGAGCTTGGCGGGTGTTTTTCCGTGCTCAGCACTATCTGGGGGGGACTTGCCAGTGCCTCCAGTCTGGGGCTTCCTCCTCCCTCTTGCCATGTTCCATCTCCGTGGCTGCAATTGGCAGGAAGTGCCAGGTGGTTTGCAGTTCTCTTTTTATTTTCCATTATTGCTCATTCTCATTGGAAAGTGGAACTCTCCAACCCTGGTGCTGCCATCACACTACCGTTCAGACCCAGGTGGGAACAGTCCAGTAAATGACAGCCTGGCCACTGGCTTGAGAGCATCCTGCAGAGATCCCTCCTCTGCTCTGCAGAGATCCCTCCTCTGCTCTGCAGCAGTGCAGAGCCCTTTGCCGATGGGTCTGTTAGCTTGGTGCTGTCGCTTTTCCTTGGAGAGCTCTTTGCTGAAAGCTGTTGCAGAGGGAGACTTGTCAAGGCTAGTGGAGAAGATTGTTTAGTATTGAGGAGTAGGAGGGAAGGACTGATTCAGGTATAGAGCTTGAGCTGGCAATTCTCCTTGGGCTCTGCACTGGTACAAGTTGAATGTTTGAGGGTCAGTGGCACCATGGACCTCACTAGTCTAGCTACAAACCTCAGTCCCATGTAAAATAGCCTTAGTTGCTCCTGCTGCTGTGTGTGACAGAGAAGAAACCTAGAGCCTACTGGGCTCTATCTCCCACTTGCCCTTGCTGCCTCTATTTTCCTCTAGGGAACAAACCTAACAGCTTGGTAGACCATAGGCTTCTGTGTTCAAGCTTTATAGCTCACTAAATGCAGCTCATTTGTAACATTTCCATTTTAGTGTCTTGTCGGTTTCATTTAGTTACCACCAGTTCTAACTCAAGAGAATGCATCTCACCATGTATACAGATTGTACACTTCAGTCCTATGACCATGGCCCTGGGAGAAGAGAACAGGGGGAGCGTCTTTTATCTGGTTACTAATCGGACAAGCTCCTCGATTAGAGAACTGAAAGTGACCAGACACTGGGTTGATGGGGAGTTTGGTTCCTCTTTAAAGCTTGATGTTAACCGGGCTTTAGATGGTTCTGAGTGCCACTTTTGAGATGCTCCATACTGAATTAATCTGCTGCATCTGCTCTTCTGGGGAGCTTGTCCCACAAATTTCTGAAGCCTCTAGCAGGTCAGGCCCTTGCGAACCAGGGCTTTAGAGCTAATTCAAGACCAAATGAGGTTGGGACCTCAATTTGGATTTGCTTGGGCCAATCAACATTTGTAGCAGAGACTTGGACTGTAGTATCCTTCATCTGCTTTATCCCTATGGAGTCTGCCCATCCAAAGTCTCCCCAGTTGTCTGAGAAGGTTCTGAAAGTCCTTATCACTTTGGGTTTTTGTACGTACTCCTGTCCAGCAGGATCCACTCAACCACATCCCCGTCACTGGTAGTACCCTACCTCTGGAAGAGCTTCCCTCTTTCTGACTCTCTGACGGGGATGTTCTGTAACACCAAGTGAAGGTGGAGAGGCTTCTGCATACCATTGCATATGGGTGGATTGCTCTCCCTTGCACTGTATCCAGCTGTGACCTCTGTAGCTCCCTCAATCAGTTTATACCTATTCCTTTGATGGTACCTAAGAGGAAACTCATGGTGAATTGAAGGAGCCATTTTATTTCCCCCTTGTTTGAAGTCTAATACTAACTACAGCATTTGGGGAATTTTCCTTAGGCAAAGCCAGGCTTTCCACTCCAGCCTTTCCCATGTCATTGGACTAAATGCCATACATGGATTTCTCTATATTTCCTGGTGTAAACTCTTTGGCTAGCAGCATCAGAAATATAAGGAAATAAATACTTCTGGCTAACATTTCTTCTATTCTCTGGTTTGGATACTAAGTTGTGGCATGGAACACAATAACCCAGTCCTGTCTTTGTGCTTCCAGGAGGCTTTAGAAACTACTTAACTCATTGAATCCCCCTCTAATCACTGAGGCGAGTTCCTGGGGGTAGTCTCTGTTTAGTATAGCTGTGGCTAACCTCTGTGCTTGTTTTTACTTTATTTTATTTTGCTTCTTGACTTTTTAAGTAGATGAATAACAAGATGCTTTTCCCTCCTCTAGAACGTATCCTCCCCTGAGAGTTCCCCTGCGCATAGGCCCGAGTCCCTGTCACCCGAGGTAGTTATCACGCCATCTCAATTGCACTCTGAGGCTGTGTGTGTGTATGTGTACCAGAGGTTCTGGAGGGTGGGGTGGAGTGAGAATGAGGAGCGTGAGAGAACGGGAATGGAGAGGGAGGTGGGGCACAAGTCACAGTAAGAATGTGGAGAGACTGCAGGATTGTCAAGGGAGACTAAAGAAAATAAAGTGGATTTATTTGGAAAACTGGGATGTATTAATAATACTGCAGATACTGGTGAGAAATGGAGGCAAAGTGTGAAGAACCAATGTCTTGGTTATTGAGGTGAAAGGAAAAAGGTCTGGGGATCCTGGAATTATAATAATTAGCATCAATTTCAGCTCAGTAGAAGTGGTTTATATGGTGTTTACTTCTTGTAGCTGTAAAGGGGCAATTTCGATTGAGGGAGGAATGGGAGACCCTTGTCCCTGTTTAAACTGAAGGATGTTGGAACAATGAGAACTCTGTCCAGAACCTTCAGCATCTTCATCACTCATTGGTTTTGATCAGCTTCTTGGGACAAGGTCAGGTACTTGACCTGCTGTGTTCAGACAGAATCATCACCTCACTGCAGCCTAAGTCCATCAAGCAAGTACCAGGGAAAAAGAGTCCAGATAACTGCAAAGCTGGTCTAAAAATGTGAGGAAGTGATACAGTCATGATTCCATTCCGGGGCTGTAATATAGCAGAGGCTATGCCCTTATTGATGGAGGTGCTGTAATACAGAGAAAGGGATGCAGTTGGTACTCATTGCCCAATGTTCCAGGGGACTGTAACGTGTGGAGGGGGTGCAGCCATGACTCCGTGCAGGAGGTTCCTGGGAGCTGCAATATAACAGAGAAGCTGCGTTGTGATATAGCAGAAAAGACACAGACATGTTTTGGCTCCTAGCACTGTAATAAGAAAAGGAGGTGTATTCCTGTTTCAGTCCTGGAGGTTCCTGGAGGCTGTAATTTAAAGAGAGGATGCATTTGTGTCTTGGTTCTGGATTTTCCTAGGTGCAGTAAATATAGCAAAGGAGCTGCAGATGTGTCTCAGTGCCAGAGGCTCCTAGGGGATGGGATGTGTCAAAGGGGACACGGTTGTGTTCATTGTCTGAGATTCCCAGAGCTGTAATCTAGTGAAAGATGGGACATTATCTTGGTGCAGGAGGTTTTCAGGTGCTATCTGGTAAAAGAAGGAATGGAAGCGTGTCAGTGCCCAGAGTTCCCAGGCACTGTGATAGAACAGAGGATGGCAGTTATGTCTCACTACTGTAAGATGCTGAATTATAATGTGTTTGTACCAGCGGTTCCCAGGTCTTGTGATCAAAGTGATGGCACATGGCTTGGGGTTCCTGGGCAATGTACTGTCATAGTAGAGAGAAGTTGTAGGTGGATGCTTGCAGTTTTCATTACTGGGTATTTGGATAGTCAAGTAGTTGGCTGATACGACAGCCAGTGAGCAGTGAATGTCCTTGAACTATTCTTCACCTTTAGTGGACGGGTAGTTTAATACCATGTGTTAATGTTGCATGGGGCCAGCTGAAGACATCAGTTCTTTTTCAGCAAGCGCCTAGGCTTGGGCACTAGGGTCAAGGCGACCCAGTTGAAAGGGAAAGGGCCCAGCAGTCTGGCAGCCATGTTTGGATTATTCTGTAATGCTCAATTCCCAGCCATTTTCTACTTGGGCTGTGTGTACATGGGATTAAGCGCAGCTGATTTAGGCTTGTGGGACTCGTGCTCCGGGGCTGAGAAATTGCTGTGTAGACACTCGGGCTGGAGCCCAAGCTCTGGGACCCTCCACCTTTGCAGGAGCCCAGGGCTCAGACTCCAGCCCGAGCTCAAACATCTACCCCACAGTTTTTAGCCCTGCAGCCCGAGTCAACTGACCTGGGCCAGCCGCAGCTGTGCCGTGGGGATTTGATTCCCACGTTAGATGAACCTTAAAAGGCTTCAGAGCAGGGCAAGAAAGGACCCAGGGGGATCAAGAGAGGAGCTGGAAAGGAGTGAGTTGTCTTTGGAGCAAGTGTTTCCTGACTTTAAAAGTTTCTCTCCCCACCTGTGTCTACCCCTTCTCCTGATTTCCCCTCCCTCTCCCACCCCATGTCTTTGTTGGATTTTCTAGCTCTGCCTTCGAACGGACCTGGATTTGGCAAAAGTGAGCTACCTGGATTCCAATGCTAACACCTGTCCAGAGAGGCCATCGCTGCTGGGCTCAGGCCACTCTGATCTGGCTCCACAGTCCTCCATTCACTTCACTTCTGAGACCAACTTCCCAGGAAAGAGTGGGGAGGCACAGCTGCTGCTAAGAAGCTCCGATCAGGCTTTTCGGACAGAGTTTAATTTAATGTATGCCTTCTCCCCTTTGAACGCTATGCCCCGTGTAGATGGATTGTTGCGGGCTTCCCCTCAGGTGGGAGACAGGAAGCCCCTGAGTTCAGAAGGGGGATGTTGCAGCTCTCCTGCAGATGGCTACTTCAGCAGACATGAGCCGGGACTTCTTAAAGAGACATTGCATGGATCCATGTCTCCTGGTGGTGAGAGGGTTTGTGAAGGAGTCAAATCTGCTCCCCAAAACCCACCACAAAGGAAAAAGGCAAGTATTCCCTGCTAAAGAAATCACAGATGACACTAAATTTAGAGGAGTGGTAAATACCAGTGAGGGGAGGAATAACTCAAAGGATCTAGAGCAGGGGTTCTCAGACTGGGGGTTGGAACCCCACAGGGGGTCGCGAGGTTATTACATGGTGGGTCACGAGCTGTCAGCCTCCACTCCAAGCCCCACTTTGCCTCCAGCATTTATAATGGTGTTAAATATATAAAAAAGTGTTTTTAATTTATAAGGGGGGGTCGCACACAGACGCTTACTATGTGAAAGGGATCACCAGTACAGAAGTTTGAGAACCACTGATCTAGAGAGAGTAGAACCATGGGCAGAAATAGCTAAAATGAGATACAACTTGGAAAACTGAAGCTAATATGTCTGGGGGGAATAATCCAAACTCCTGTGCTGAGTCAGAGTGAAAAAAGACTGAGGCAGAGACCTGGAGAAAGGAGGCAGCAAGTTGGGCAAGAGTTTGAAATAAGGTATGGCAGCAGAAGGGCCAATGAGAAGTATCATGTCCTGGAGCAGGGAGAGAAGTGTTCTTATTTCACCCAAGTGAAACTGTAATAGCTTGACTAGGTGATGATTAAGCTGGGCTGTCACACTAATTTCCTACAGCAGATCTTATAGAAAAACATCCAATCTTGATTTTAAAATTCGCAGTGATGGAGAATCCACTGCAACCCTTGGTAAATTGTTCCAATGGTTAATTACTCTCACCATTAAAAATATATGCCTTATTTGCTGTCTGAATTTAAATAGCTTCAACATCCAGCCATTGGATCGTGTTACATGTGTCTCTGTTAGATTGAAGAACCCATTATTAAATATTTGTTCTTCGAGTGCTTGCTCATGTCGATTCCATTCTAGGTGTGTATGTGCCCACGTGTGCGATTGTCAGAGATTTTTGCCTTAGTGGTATCCGTAGGGTCGGCAGTGGTGCCCCCTTGAGTGCCGTGCTCATATCAGGCGCTGCTGACCCTACGCCCTCTCAGTTCCTTCTTACTGCCCATGATGGTTAGTCGGAGTGCCTTTCCTTGCATTACACGGGCTAGCAGGATTTCTTTTACTGACTCGTAAATAGTTTGTTAGTGTTAAGTAGTTGTTAAGTGTAGTCAGCAGTTAGAGTCCCAGCAGGGACTTTGTTGCAGGCGGGGCATGCCCCGATCGCCTGGGTTTAAGCCCTGTGCAGACTGTAACAGGCCTATGCCAGTAAGTGACCCCCACAGCAGCTGCCTCAAGTGCTTAGGGGAGTCACACATTAGAGACAAGTGCTGAATTTGTAAAAACTTCCAGCTCCGCATGCAGAAGAAGCTGGATATTCGGCTACAGGCTCTTCTGGAGTCCACCCTTTATCTGGCTTCCGTGCCCTCCCGCCAGAACTCGCTGAGTGCCTCAGTGCGCCCCCGGCACCGGGCTCTGCCCAGCACCATTCCCCTGTTGCTGGTGTCCAAAAATAAGACCAAAAAGCATGGCTCCCTGGCACCGGGGAAAAATGCCATGGGTCATCAGGCAAGAGACACGGTTTGGACCCAGCCACTCCAGAGCTGCGTGCTTATACCTCCCTGGTCGGAGCCCTTAGCCCTGTGAAAGGTCCACCCCCGACTCCCAGGAGCAGTATGGGACCAAAAACCCTGGCAGCACTGACACTTTCACAGGCTCCCCCGGTGCTGAGAGAGCAAAGGCCTCCGCCCACACCGCTGATGCAGCCTGTGGGCTGCACGAGGGCAAGCCAGCCGCTAAGACCCCTCAGGGGGCGGTGAAGCACCGCCGATCCCCTGAGATAAAGCAGCACTCCATCTTCATGCCGGAGTCGCAGCCCAGATTCTCTGGTGCTCATCCTTGGTCACCGGCACCACGGTCGCCGCCGTCTCAACATGGATTGCCTTCAGCAAGACGCTGGTCTCCGTACTACTGACGCCACTTGCCCTCCCGCCAGTCTTCTCGACACAGGTCCAGGTCACCTGCCTTGTGGGAGCACCCCCAGTTGTGTCTCCAGTCCCCCCAGCACTGTTCCCCTCGCTCCAGGCACCGGTCGGCGATGGTCAACAAACAAACCCAGGCGTCAATGGCTCCACCGTGGTCACCAGAAGGGGAGTCCTCCAGCACAGAAGTCCAATTCAGCTGCTCACCTAGACTGCACCAGCGCGAATGGGCATCTGAGGCCACATCAACAGCGCTGACTTGGTAGCACGGCCAGTGGCCTTATTGGAGAGTGTGGGGAGTGCCAGGTGTGGTGATGCCCCTTTCACACTGCTCATAGACCGCCGCCTCGGAGCAACAGTTGGCAGCACTGATGGCACCGGGCTCTGTGCACGAGGCGCGCTAGGTGGTCGAGGCAGAGGAACTGTGCCCACTCCTAAGCCTCCCTCCCCTGTGGGAGAAGATGCCCTGGAGCCTCCGCCAGCAGTGCAGTCATCATCCTTGTCCCCAGATGAGGCAGTTGCAGGACCTTGAGGGCCAGCCCACTGGATGATTTCAAAGAACACCAGGCCCTGCTGTGTCGGGTGGCCGAGAACTTGGGCCTGGAGGTGGAGGAAATGGCTGAGCAGGCAGACACCTTGTTTAATGTCCTGCCAGCCTCTACCCCAACCCGTGTCGCACTACTAGTGCATGACAGTGTCCTTACGATTGCCAAGGGCCTCTGGCAAACTCCTTCCTCCATTACTCCCACCTCAAAAAGGGCCGAAAAGAAATACTTTGTCCCGGCCAAGGGATTTGAATACCTCTATACCCACCCTCCCCCAGGCTCGCTGGTGGTCTCTGTGGCCAATGAAAGAGACAAGAAGGGGCATACTAGTTCAACCCCCAAGAATAAAGAGGCCAAATGGTTGGATCTGTTTGGAAGAAAAATTTCTTCAACAGCCAGTTTGCAGTTCCGGATTGCATACCATCAGGCCCTCTTGAGCCATTACAACTTTAACTTATGGGGGACCCCTCAGTAAGTTCAAGGAGTCCCTTCCTCAGAGTTTGGGCTAGGAATTTGGCACCCTGGTGTAGAAGGGCACTGTGGTTGCCAGTTGCTCCCTCCAGATGGTGTGGGACGCGGCGGACTTGGCAGCCAGGGTGGTGACATCAGCAATAGTAATGAGGCCCAGCTCCTGGCATCAGACTGCAGGTCTCTCCCAAGAAATGCAGAGCTCCACTCAGGACCTCCAATTCGATGGGAACGGTCCCTTTTCCGACCAGATGGATGCGAGGCTGCATGGGCTAAAGGACACCAGGACTACCCTTCGCTCGCTGGGCATGCATACACTGCAGCCTGCAAGAAAGCAGTTCTGGACGCCTCCGCTGCCTAGGCCTTGGCAGTCTCATCAAAGATCTGCAAAAAGAAGGGACAGAGACACTAGTTTCAACCGCCGTCGCCCTTCCTCCTCCCGCTCTCCCAGGCAGCCCAGTTCTGCAAAACACCCCAGGGGCCAGAAGTGCTCGTTTTGAGGGTACAGTCGAGAGCAACACCCCAATCACCTTCCAGGATCCACCCTGCTCTTTCCTCAACTGTCTTCGTCCCTTCTGTTTGGCCTAGTCCCAAGTTACCTTGGACCATTGGGTGCTGGACATAGTGTCTCATTGTTACACCCTTGCAATTTTCGACTGCCCCTCCTGCTTCAAGGACCCTTCTCATGAGCAACTCCTTGTTCAAGAGGTCGATAACCTCCTGCGCCTGGGGGCAGTGGAGGAGATCCCTCAGGACATGAAGGAAAAGGGGTTCTATTCCCGCTACTTCCTAATCCCGAAAGCAAAAGGGGGCCTCAGACCCATTCTAGTCCTGCGGTGCCTTAACAAGTCTCTCACAGAGTTGAAGTTTCGCATGGTCTCCCTGACCTCCATCATCCCCTCCCTGGATCTGGGGGACTGCTATGCTGACCTCGACTTGGAGGACGCCTATTTCCATATTCCAAGGTCTCAGACATTTCCTCTGTTTTATAGTGGGCGAATGCCATTTCCAATTTACAGCACTCCCCTTTCATGGCCTCTCATTGGCTCCAAGGGTCTTCACGAAATGAATGGCGCCAGTGGTGCTTACCTCAGACATCAAGGGTCTTCCCATGTCTCGATAACTGGCTCTTCAAGGGCAGGTATCAGAATCCAGTGCAGAGAAGCCTTATCTGATGTGTTCCACCTGCCATCACCTGGGCCTGTTGATAAATGAGAAAAAATTCACTTTAAGGCTACGTAATTCCCTACATAAAAGGATAAATGGACACAAGTCAGATATTAGGAATGACAATATACAAAAACCTGTAGGAGAACACTTCAGTCTTCCTGGACACACAATAGCAGATGTAAAGGTAGCCATCTTACAGCAAAAAAACTTCAGGACCAGACTTCAAAGAGAAACAGCTGAGCTTCAGTTAATCTGCAAATTTGACACCATCAGCTGAGGATTAAACAAAGACTGTGAATGGCTATCCAACTACAGAAGCAGTTTCTCCTCCCTTGGTGGTCACACCTCAATTGCTAGAAGAGGGCCTCATCCTACCTGATTGAACTAACCTCATTATCTCTAGACTGATTCTTGCCTGCATATTTATACCTGCTTCTGGAAACTTCCACTACATGCACCCACGAAAGCTTATGTTCCAATACGTCTGTTAGGCTATAAGGCACCACAGGACTCTGTCGCTTTTTACAGATCCAGACTGACACGGCTACCCCTCTGATACATGACACCTTAAGGCTAGTTCAACACATAGAGTTCATAGGGGCGGTTCTCGACTCCACGCAGGCCAGAGCCTTTCTCCCAGAGGCGCGTTTTTGGACCTAATCTCCCATGTCAAGAACCACGGCTCACCCCTGCCTGCAGTTGTTGGGCCACATGGCCGCCTGTACATTTGTGGTCAGTCATGCCCAGCTCCACCTTTTGGCCTCTGCAAGGGTGGCTGGCATTGGTTTACACCCACGACAGACACGATCTAGGCTGGGTGATCAGGGTGCTGGATTGCATCCTATCGTCTCTGGATTGGTTGTTGAGCCCCGGGTCGGTGTTGGAGGGAGTACCTCTCATGACCTCATCCTCATCACCTGGTCTCCGATGCTTTGGACCTGGGCTGGGGAGCCCAGCTGGGCAAGCTGAGCATCCAGGGCCAATGGTTGTGGGACGATCTGGCCCTCCACATCAACGTCAGGGAACTCAGAGCGGTTTGCCTTGCCTGCCAGGCGTTCTTGCCCCACCTGAGGCGCAAGGTGGTGCAGGTCCTGACGGACAATACTGCTGCAACATATTACATCAACAGACAGGGCAGAGCCAGGTCGTCAGCCCTTTGCCAAGAAGCTGTCAGCCTTTGGGACTTCTGTGTTCGTCAGGCCATTCATCTGGTAGCCGCGCACCTGCCCGGGACCAGAAATGTGCTAGCAGATCGCCTCAGCAGGACCTTCTTGTCTCGCCACAAGTGGTTGCTCCATCCGGTGCCAGCCAGTATGATCCCCTGAAAGTGGGGGAACTCCCCAGGTGGACTTGTTCACGTCCCTCAAAAACAGGAAATGCCACGTGTTCTGTTCATTCCGGGCGATGGACAGGGTTCCCTGTCAGATGCTTTCCTGCTATCCTTATCCTGATAGCCCCCAAGTGACCTTGCCAGCACTGGTTCAGCATGTGGCTGGACCTTTCGGTAGCCGAACCACTGCGACTCCCTCTCTGGCCAGACCTGCTCTCCCAGAACCACAGCAGTCTCCTGTACCCAAACCTGGAGGCATTGCACTTGACAGTGTGGCTGCTGCATGGCTGAATGTGGAAGAACGGGAATGCTCGGCCCACGTGCAAAAGGTCTTGCTGGGTAGTAGAAAGCACTTCATCGGAGCGACTTACCTGGCCAAGTGGAAAAGATTCACGTGCTGGGCTTCAGAATGACACGTCCGAGAGAGCAGGCCTCGTTGCAGCTGATCCTGGACTATCTTCTGCACCTCAAACTTCAGGGCTTGTCTCTGTCATCAATCAGGTCCATCTGGCTGCTATTTCGGCTTTCCACCCTCCATTCCAAGGCAGGTCAATCTTCGCTCATGACATGGCGGCCTGGTCTGGAAAGGTCTGGAGTGTCTTTACACTTACGTCTTGGATCCGGTCCCTCCCTGGGATTTGAATCTCATGCTATCGAGGCTGATGAGGCCTCCCTTCAAACCTCTGGCGTCCTGCTCTCTTCTCCTGCTCTCCTGGAAGGTTGCGTTCCTGGTGGCGGTTGCATCCACCCGCAGGGTGTCTGAGATCAGAATGCTTACGTCAGAACCACCCTATACAATGTTATACAAAGATAAGGTCCAACTGCGGCCACACTCAGCGTTCCTGCCCAAAGTTGTTGCCCAGTTTCATATCAGCCAGGACATTTTCTTACTGGTCTTTCCGAAGCCCCATAAATCCGAAGAGGAGTACAGGTTATACACCTGGATGTCTGGAGGGTGCTGGCTTTCTGTATCAATAGGATACGGTTGTTCCGTAAATCAGTGCAGCTGTTCGTGGTAATCGCAGACAGGACAAAAGGTCACCCTGTGTCTGCTCAAAGGATTTCGTCCTGGATCACAGCCTGCATCCGATGCTGCTATGAGCTGGCGTAGTCCACCAGCCATAGTCAAAGCACAGTCGACTAGAGCACAAGTGTTATCTGCGGCCTTCTTAGCCCAGATGCCAATCCAGGAGATCTGTAAAGCTGCTACCTGGTCATCTGTTCACACGTTTATGTCCCATTATGTGCTGACCCAGCAGGCCCGGGACGATGCTGGCTTCAGCAGGGCAGTGCTGCAAGATGCAAGATCGTGAACTCCGAGCCCATTTCCATTGACACAAGTAAGCACTCGAAGAAGAAAAACGGTTATCTACCTTTCATAACTGTTGTTCTTTGAGATGTGTTGCTCATGTCCATTCCATTACCCTGCTTCCCGCCCCTCTGTCGGAGTTGTCAGCAAGAAGGAACTGAAATGGCGTAGGGTTGGTGACGGCTGATATACTGGCGCATGAGTGCAGCACTCAAGGGGACGCCACTGCTGACCCTACGAATACCGCTAAGGTAAAAATCTCCGACGACCACGCACATGGGCACGTGCACACCTAGAATGGAATGGATCGTGAGCAACACATCTTGAAGAACAGTTATAAAAAGTAGGTAACCATTTTTTCCCCATGTAGGGCTGTATAGACTAATCAAGATGCCCCCTAACCTCTTTGTTAAGCTAAGTAGATGGAGCTCCTTGAGTCTATCACTATAAGGCATGTTTTCTAATCCTTTAATCATTCTCGTGGCTCTTCTTTGAACCCTCTCCAATTTATCAACATCTGTCTTGAATTGTGGGCACCAGAACTGGACACAGTATTCCAGCAGCAGTCACACCAGTGCCAAATAACTGAGGTAAAATAACCTCTCTACTCCTACTCAAAATTCCCCTGTTTATGCATCCCAAGATCACGTTAGCTCTTTTGGCTACTGTGTTCTACTGGAATTTCATGTTTGGCTGATTATCCACCACAATCCCCAAATCTTTTCAGAGTCACTGCTTCCCTGAATAGACCCTCTCCTCTCCACCCCCCATCCTGTAAGTATAGCCTACTTTCTTTATTCCTGGATGTATGAATTTACATTTAGACGTATTAAAACACACCCAGTGCCCAGTTTACTAAGTGATCCAGATCACCCTAAGTCAGTGATCTGTGCTTTTCATTATTTACCACTCCCCCATTTTTTGTGTCATCTGTCATCAGTGATTTTATGTTTTCTTCCAGGTCATTGATAGAAACATAAAATAGCATAGGGCCAAGAACCAAACCCTGCAGGACCCCACTGGAAACACACCCACTCAATGATGATTCCCTGTATGCTGTTAGCCAGTCTTTAATTCATTTAATGTTGCCATGTTAATTTTATGTCATAGTTTTTTCATCAAAAGACCATGTGGTACCAAGTCTACGTATATTTTGTCAACAGTACTATATCAACCAATTTGTAAACTCATCAAAAAAAGACATCAAGTTAGTTTGACAGAATTTATTTTCCCAAAACCCATGTTGATTTATATTAATTACATTACCCTCTTTTAGTTTATTATTGATCAGCTGCGCTGTTATCTTGCCCAGGATCAATGTCAGGCTTACAGGTCTATAATTATCCATTTGCCCTTTTTAAAAATTGGGACGTTGGCTTTCTTCCAGTCTTCTGAACCTGCCCCATTGCTCCGAGACTTAGGGGGAGGGATAGCTCAGTGGTTTGAGCAGTGGCCTGTTAAACCCAGGGTTGTGAGTTCAATCCTTGAGGGGGCCATTTAGGGATATGAGGCAAAAATCTGTTGGATGATTTAGTTGGGGATTGGCCCTGCTTTGAGCAGGGGGTTGGACTAGATGATCTCCTGAGGTCCCTTCCAACCCTGATATTCTATGAAAATAAACCTTAACGGTCCAGTGAGCTCCTCAGTCAGCTCTTTTAAAATCCTTGGATGCAAGTTATCTGGATCTGCTAATTTTTAAAATGTCTAACTTTAATAGCTTCTGTTTAACATCCTCCAGATATTCTAAAGGAATGGAAAGAGAGTTATCATCATATGAGACTATGTAATGTGTTTTTCCCCCCAAATACAGATGACTTATAGAATCCTTTGCTTTGTGCCTTTGACCAAAAACCAGGAGTGTGGCAATTTTGCAAAAGTTTCCCACTTTTGTGAACAGTAGTTCAGTTCTTCTGGTGTAGCAGGATTGGAAGCCTGATTGGCCATGACAGATGTTAGTCTCATTGTTTAATGCAGCGCTGGAAGGTGCTCAGAGCCTCTGGTGATGAGCATGGTGTAGGCACCTATAGAGAATAGAAGTAGAGAACACTTTTGTTTTCAGCTTTCAGAGTGCTGCAGATTTTTATACTGTGTGGACCTGTATTGCACAAGTTGTCAGGAGGATGCTGGAGGTTTGGCAACTGGACAGAAGCCATTGAGGCTTTTGACAATTGGGGAGGTACAGGAGGAAGTTTGGGATTATGGGATAAGCACACTACTAACAGCATATTTCTTCTGAAATGATCATCCATTAAATAGTTAATTGTGGAAAAATACGACAGTCACCCCTCTGAGCTGTTGTTTCAGCCTGTCTGCAAATTCAAGAAGACGTGACTCCAATATAAAAGGATGCAAACTTTGTTTTCTTTGTACATTGTTCTAAATGAACATTTAAAACCACTCTGAAACCATTTAAATTCTGCAGCCCAATTCTGAGGCCGGGGTGGATTCTATGGTAAATTTGCAGTCACTTCGTGGGGTTCTGATTATAGGCTTAAAATTAATGACTATATTTTTCATAATTTCATATTTGTCAGTAATATCTTGCTAACTATGATTTCTTGATGGTATCTAATCTGTCACGTGGGGTTTTTCCCTGTTTTGAAACTGACTTGGTGTATGATTCTTATAGACAAGTCATTTAATCTCTGCCTCTGTCCCACTGTAAAATTCCTACCTACTTCCCAGGGGAGGCTTCATTCATGTTTGTAACATGCTTTGAGATCCTCGCATGAAAGGGACTATAGAGATGCAAATCATGTCTTCTTTTTCATAAACAACTTGTTTTTCTAGTCCTGATTATAGCTCAGGGATGCCCTATCCTGCAGTTTTATGCATGTTAAAATGTTTACTTGTATATGTAGTCAGTGCTTCTAGGGCAACATATGAAGGGATAGCATCCTTCCCCCTGGACCTGCCAACTTAGTGATTTGTCTGTTCAGCTAACAGCCTCAGTGCCCAGGCTCATGGCGATGTTTCTCTCGCAGGTCTCTCTGCTGGAGTACCGCAAGCGAAAACAGGAAGCCAAGGAGGGAAGTGATTCAGTGCGATGCACAATGACGCCGACCCGACAAGGCAGCAACAGCTCTGTGACTGACACAGAGGCCAGCAGTGTGCAGGGCTCAGTAGTCCGAGCCCCATCCTCCCCACAAAGTGGCTGTTCTCCCTCACATCCCCCCCTGCCTCACATAGAGGAGATCAGCCCACCAGACCTGAGGGTGGCTAGTTCCTCGACCTCACACTCCAAATCCCAGGAGAACATCAGCAGTAGGTGGTGAGTGTTCGCTCTCCTGACAAGGTTGTTGTTGCTTCATAGGAAGTCGGTCAGACTCTCTGCTTGGGGCTTTCCCAAGAAGATGTGTGTAAAGGCCTACAGATAGAATCCATCAGAAAGTCAGACCGCATTGGCAAGTATCTGCACACCCGGGATGGATCCTGGGTTAGCTTCATACGGAATGGCTCTAGATATATCGCCTGGCTTTAGAACGGGGCCACAGCACTCATTCTGGTTGGCTATATAAGTTGAATTCTACAGTATAAACACAAGTGATCCCAGCAGCCTCTTGAGCCAGCCCGTTTGTAGATTAGATGCCAAATATCCGTGGTGGAAATTAAAAAACAATGAGAAGTTTCTTTTCTCCACCAATTTTTCTTTTTTGGGGCATATTCTCCAGACTCTAGACCATGTGCTTGCCTTGGGATTTGCACCTTAGCCTTCTGCTGCCAGACCTTGACTCTGAGTGTGGGCTGCTGTGACACCTTAATGCTAGCTTTTATTGAAAAAGATGCTAAATAATACACCTCCCCATGACCTCCAAACAGAGACTTATACCTTTGGCACGATGGCACATGCGGGAGATGAGGAGCACATCTCTAGTCTACGTTATGTGCAAATACCCTAGAGCATAGGTTCACAAACTGTGCTCCAGGAACCTATTGTGGTCCACATGGTGCTTGCCAGGGTTCTGAAGAGAGCTAGTGTCACATGGTGCTGGCCTCACCTTATTTCCATCTGCTAAATTGTATTAAAAGTAGGGCTGTCAATCAATTAAAAAAATTAATCTCGATTAATCGCACTGTTAAACAATAATAGAATACCATTTATTTAAATATTTTTGGGTGTTTTCTAAATTTTCAAATATATTGATTTCAATTACAACACAATACAAAGTGTACAGTAGCTCACTTTATATTTCTTTTTGATTACAAGTATTTGCACTGTAAAAAAACAAAAGAAATAGTATTTTTCAGTTCACCTCATACAAGTACTGAAGTGCAATTTCTTTATCATGAAAGTTGAACTTACAAATGTAGAATTATGTACAAAAAAATCTGCATTCAAAAATAAAACAATGTAAAACTTTAGAGCCTACAAGTCCACCCAGTCCTATTTCTTGTTCAGCCAATTACTCAGAGAAACAAGTTTGTTTACATTTGCAGGAGATAATGCTGCACGCTTCTTGTTTACAATGTCACCTGAAAGTGAGAACAGGCATTTGCCTGGCACTGTTGTAGCCGGCATCACAAGATATTTACGTGCCAGATGCGCTAAAGATTCATATATCCCTTCATGATTCAGCCACCATTCCGGAGGACATGCGTCCATACTGATGACAGGCTCTGCTTGATAACGATCCAAAGTAGTGTGGACCGACCCATGTTCATTTTCATCATCTGAGTCAGAGGCCACCAGCAGAAGGCTGATTTTCTTTTTAGGTGGTTCGGATTCTGTAGTTTCCGCATGGGAGTGTTGCTCTTTTAAGACTTCTGAAAGCATGCTCCACACCTCGTCCCTCTCAGATTTTGGAAGGCACTTCAGATTCTTAAACCTTGGGTTGAGTGCTGTAGCTATCTTTAGAAATCTCACATTGGTACCTTCTTTGCTTTTTGTCAAATCGGTAGTGAAAGCATTCTTAAAATGACAAAATGTGCTGAGTCATCATCCGAGACTACTATAACATGAACTATATGGCAGAATGTGGGTAAAACAGAACAGGAGACATACAGTTCTCCCCCAAGGAGTTCAGTCACAAATTTAATGAGCGCATTTTTTTTCAACGAGCGTCATCAGCATGGAAGCATGTCCTCTGGAATGGTGGCCAACGTATGAAGGGGCATACGAATGTTTAGAATATCTGGCATGTAAATACCTTGCAATGCTGTCTACAAAAGTCCCATGTGAACTGCTGTTCTCACTTTCTAGTGACGTAAATAAGTAGTGGGCAACATTATTTCCTATAAATGTAAAGAAACTTGTTTGTCTTAGTGATTGGCTGAACAAGGAGGAGGACTGAGTAGACTTGTAGACTCTAAAGTTTTGCATTGTTTGTTTTATTTTTGAGTGTAGTTCTGTAACAAAAAAATCTACATTTGTAAGTTGCACTTTCACGATAAAGAGATTGCACTACAGTACTTGTCTGAGATTAATTGAAAAATATTATCATTTTTACAGTGCAAATATTTGTAATAAAAATAATATAAAGTGAGCAGTGTACAATTTGATTCTGTGTTGTAATTGAAATAAATATATTTTAAAACATAGAAAAACATCCAAAAATATTTCATAAATTTCAATTGGTATTCTATTGTTTAACAGTGTGATTAAAACTGCGATTAGTCGTGATTAATTTTTTTAATCGTGATTAATTATTGAGTTAATCGCATGAGTTAACTGCGATTAATCAGCAGCCCTAGTTAAAAAGTAAAAAGACATTATTTTCCCGATACTAATTCTGTGTGTAGGCAATTGCTGTAGTTGACATAGGAGGGGAGGGAGGTGGGTCTGGGCAATGCGGTGTAGGAAGTGGGGTCCACAAGAGTTTCTGTTAAGATTTGATCCACAATGGAAATGCATGAGAAGCCATATGCTGGAGTGAGTTTACTGCAATGACAACCCCACAGAAAGGCATGAAAGAAAAGAGATTGTTCTTTCAAAAAACAGCACGTCTTGCCCTTCTGTCTCAGTGCTCCACACACAATGGAGATGCTGGGAGAAGCTGGGACTGGCTGAGCTGGGGCCCTGCACGGAAATGATTGCTCACTTTACAGCCTGTTTTGTAAAGGTTTAAAAGCAACCCCACACACACATCTGTGCCATCCCCTGCTGTCTGGGAGAGGGGTATGGCTGAATGCAACAGCCACGCATAGGGATGTGGGACCACCTCTCCACATGGCAGCCAAGCTCCAGTGTCCACCTTTACATTACCTGCTTAATTCAGCTGCTCTGGGTTTGGTTTCCACTGTGGCCTCATGAGCCAGTATCGCTGCCTAAGGCTGGGGGCCACAGTGCCATGTGGTTATCACGTGTGAAGTGTTATCAGTATCTGTCTAAAATGGGATTAACCAGTTTTGCTGCCTTTCTTATCCTATTTCCGTCTTCCCTGGTTCTAATGGGTGTGGCTTGAGAGTGAACAGTCCCATTTCACTTTTAAATGGTGTTACAGAAGGCTCATGCTAGAGTAAAGGTTATAAACAGTTTCATTCCAAGTCCCCTGTTGACACCTGTGCACAGCTCCCTTGTACATTTCCAGATAACTTGCTGGCATAACAGGGACAGGAGGAAGTGGGAGCTAAAATTACTTGCTGTGATTTTTAGAGGTCTCCATAGTTTTGCCGCATTCTACAATATCTGCAAATAGCTTTCATTTAAAAAAAAATAAGTTTCTGTCTCTTTCAGTTGCCAAGATACAGCCATCACAATGTAAACAGATGTGCTGCTGCCCTGTTAACCCAGCCTTGCAGAAAACTGTCTCCAGCCAAACAATAGCAGCAAAGAAGGTGTGAATTCACCCCCCTCACCCCATTCACCTCAGTGAGGAGTGAACTCTGCCCCTACCCCATTCACCTCACTGAGGTGTGAATTTCAGTGTCCATTTTGGGCCCTTAAAATGCTAATGTTGAGCGCAAATTATATTTTCCTTTAATAAAAAAAAAAGAGAGAGAGAGAAAATAAATGCAAAAACCACTTAATACAATGTTGAGGTTGCACAGTTTAATTTTTATATTTCCTGTCTAAGCTCCTGCACAATGTTAATCCAGCTAGTCTGCACATCTGTGTTTTATGCTACATATTTACTGTAGAAAAACCATGGGCTTTCTGTTATCTATGTACAGGGCCTAGAATAATGTGGCACCACACCAATCCCTGATTGGGGCACCCAGGCACTGCTGTATTACATATTAAATAACAAGCATACACATTTAGAAACTGCATGATCCACTGGACAGACTGTTACCCAGGAGACCTTGGTTCTGTTCCTGGCTCTGCCATTGTCCTGCAGTGTGACTTGAGGCAAGTCACTTCATCTCTTGCTGTCCTCTTTGGGGCTGAGACTTTCACTGTGTGTTTGGACTGTGAGTAACACTATGTTGTACCAATTTTGTGTGGGGCCTCTAAGTGCTACTGTGTTAAAAATAAAAAACAAATTGGACAAGGAAAACAGGAATGGAAAGTAGCATTTATAGGTAAAATGGCTAAGTTAACACTGCTCCAGGAACCTTGCTTTTGCTGATTATATTTTAACAAAGCTACCTTAATGTTGTATTATTATAGAGTGTTACAATAAACTGCTTTTTCAGTGCAAAAAAAGTCATTTCCATATGGTGACTATATCTAGACTTGTGTATCCTAGGATTTCCAAAATGCTGTTAAATCTTGATACCCTTTTCTGAAAGAGGAGGACCCAAACTCACTTAGACCACAATGAAACATCAAATATCTCGCAATCATTTGACAACAAAGAGAAGAGATCTCATTGCCCCAGTGCAGTGCTTTAGAAAACACTTCACAGTAGTCATATTTGGTAGCCAGCAACTGTAGAGTAAAATCTACCAGGGTTTGTTGACATCACAAAAGCAGTGCAGAACCTTAATTCTCATAATTGTTTGGTGAACCCATTCTTCTACCACCCCTGCACCTCTGTATGGCAGGGACTTGCACTCCAGCACTGACTTCATGCTAATTGTTCTAAGCAGAATATTTTAAGAGCTTAAAAACAGCCCTCTTGTAAGTGTATTAAGGGGCCCACAACCCCCACGCCTTGGTCATTGTGCTCAAAGATGAGTAGTAACAGCCCTCAACTCTTATTACTTCCTCTTTCAGGATGGTCCCCACATCTGTGGAACGGCTTCGAGAGGGCCGTGGTATTCTCGAGAAGGTTCTGCGCAGTGGTGCAAAGATATCCCAGAGAGGAGAGCCCTCACCGACGAGTGACAGTGCTGCTGAGAGAGATCCAGGTAAATAGATGAGCCTTTTGAAGGAGAGCTGCATTTCATACTTAGACAGGTGGAACTGACTCTGTTCAGAATAGATTTAGCTGCGGGCTTGGCTCTCAGGTAAGTGGCACCTCCATGTTTGACATCACCAGTATCCTATGGGAGCTTTTCCCTGAGCACATTTCCTCGTGCGTCAAACAAGACCCTTAAGTCTACTTCCCTCACCCTTCAGGCCTAGAAAGCCTTGGAGTTGACTACAGCATTTGATCCCACAACTAGATCACAGATTTGATCTTTGACCTTGGACAAACCACCTTAAGCCTCAGTTTTCCTGTTCCTCTATGATGGGGATAGTACTGGCATCAGGAGGCTGGTGGAGTTAATTAGCTGTACAGTTCTCTGAAGATACCAAGCACCAAATTTCCTCACAAAAAGTAAGCTGAGAATTATAGACACTTTAAACTCAGGAAACAGATAGTTACGGTTCCAATCATAGTCTTAATTCTGCCCTTTATTCCCTGCCGCCTATCAAGTGAATATCCTGGTCAGTTGTGAAATTTGCCTGACCTCTTGCTTATATAATTTTCAAGAGTTTGACCTTCAGTTACATGTAGCCATCCTTCCCATCTCTGGGTGTAGGGGAGCCCTCACTGTGTGTCAGGGTTCTGGGGTTTGAGGGAATGCAGGAAAGGGGTCCCTGAATGCTCTCACCCTCTGCTTACTAAGACACTGGGTGGATCTACAAATATAACAAATGACCCTGAGGTGTCAGGATCAACTGAACTGAATTGAGCTCCTTCAACACCACCTTAGTGGTGTACCTACCATCACCAAGCAAAGGCCTGAGATCAACAAACTCAGGCTATATCAGAGCAGCGGGGAAAACAAATACCAGGAGCACTGTGATGTTATGGTTGAAATCCTGGCCCAATGGAAGTAAAGGGAGTTTTATCATTGACTGACTTCAAAGGAGCTGGGATTTTACCACAAAAGAGATGATGGTCTTGTGGTTAAGGAACTGGACTTGGACTCGAAAGGTCTGGATTTAATTCCTGGTTCTTGGAACTGGCTCCCAGTGTGACCATGGACAAGTCACTTAATCTCTGTGTCTCAGTTCTCCATCTGTAAAATGGAACCTTTACCATTTCTATTTAGATTTTAGACTTTTGGGGGCAGAGATTCTCTTACAATGCCCAGCACAATAGGATTCTGATCTCACTTGAGACCTAGAATAAATAGTTGTGGACATTATTAAGCAACTTAAAAATACTGGAGAGAGAGCAAGCTTTGCCCCCCGTTGTTTATATCTAGAAGTTCATAGGAGAGGCACCCCAACGGATCTCTCTGTCCATTTGGTAGCTTGTGTGAGGGGCTGTGTGTCTCAGATAGCCAGGACCCAAGTCATGTGGGGTTTTATAGATCAAATCAACACCTAGAGGTAAGCTGGGAATCAGTGCAGATTCTAGAGAACAAGCATTATGTTCCCTCCAGCTAATGCTAGTTAGCAGGCTTCTGCATTCTGCACTAGCTGAAATTTCTAAGTGGTTGTCTTCTGCTCCCACACAGCTGGAAGTGTCTCCACTTCCCCTTACTGAAGAGACATGTTCAGTCAGCATCATTGTTCTAGTTCTTGTTTTAAAGCAAGTGTTTTGAGTTACAAATGGACAAGGGTTTTCAAACAGCTAAATACTCACTATACGAGAAGTGTCCCTAGGGGAGCTCAACTTCAGTATATGTGCGTGCCTGGGCATTCTTGATCAGAAACTTTCATCAGGACCGTCCTTGGGTCCACAGCTGCACCCTACACGTCCTCATGCTCTGGTGTGCAGGTACAAGGAGGTTGAGCTCACTGCCACTCCAGTTCCTTCTCAACTGCCTGCAGCTTGAGAGGGAGTGTTGCAGCATCCACTATAGAGAACCATGTGGTTTTCTGCTTTATTCTCTTATTTATTCTTATGCTTCTTTCGTAGTAATTTTTTAATATTTAATTTTTCTGTTTAACACAGTTTTGTGGTTTGGGGGGTTTACTCCCTCTTCCCTTTGTTTGCCCAATCTGGGCTTCTGGATTTGGCCTCAATCCAGTACTTCAACTAATGGGTTATGCCCAAAATCCCTGTCGGACCTGCCCCAGGTCTCTTTCCCACAATGAGAGACATTGAATCTGCCTCTGCTGATTTGAAGAGACCCACGTTCCCGTGGTCTGCTCACCCATGGAAAGGAGATTTCGAAAACTTGAGGAATGGCTGAAACTGTTGATGGAGCATTCCAGGCTCTCTTCCCCCTTCTCCCCTCCCCCCACCCTTGAACATCAGCTTTGGCTGTTTAAAGAGCTCCAGTGACTGTCTCTGCTGCAGTAAGCAGAAACCCTGGGGCCCTTCAGAACCATCCAGACCTTTAAAAAAAATTTTCTCCAGAATAACAATCTAAGAGAACCATAGAATTGTAGGATTGGAAGGGACCTTGAGAGGTCATCAACTCCAGTCCCCTGCACTCATGGCAGGACTAAGTATTATCTAGACCATCCCTGACAGGTGTTTGTCTAACCTGCTCTTAAAAATCTCCAGCGACAGAGATTCCACAACCTCCCTGGGCAATTTTCTCCAGTGTTTAACCACATTGACAGTTAGGAAGTTTTTCCTAATGTTCAGCCTAAACTGCCCTTACTGCAATTTAAGCCCATTGCTTCTTGTCCTAGCCTCAGAGGTTAAAGAGAACAGTTTTTCTCCCTCCTCCTTGTAACAACCTTTTATGTACTTGAAAACTGTTATCACCTCCCCTCACTCTTCTCTTCTCTAGACTAAACAAACCCAATTTTTTCAATCTTCCCTCATAGGTCATATTTTTGAGACTTTTAATCATTTTTGTTGCTCTTTTCTGGACTTTCTCCAATTTGTCCTTGTCTTTCCTGAAATTTGGCACCCAGAACTGGACATAATACTCCAGTTGAGGCCTAATCTTGTGTCTTGCTTACAGCACTCCTGCTAATACATCCCAGAATGATGTTTGCTTTTTATGCAATAGTGTTACACTGTTTACTCATATTTATCTTGTGATCTACTATGACCCCCAGACCCCTTTCCACTGTACTCCTTCCTTGAAAGTCATTTCCCATTTTATATGTGTGCAACAAATTGTTCCTTCCTAAGTGGGAGTACTTTGCTGAATTCCATCCTATTTACTTCAGACCATTTCTCCAGTTTGTCCAGATCATTTTGAATTTTAATCCTATCCTCCAAAGCACTTGCAACCCCTCCCAGCTTGGTATCGTCCGCAAACTTTAGAAGTGTGCTTTCTATGCCATTATCTAACACATTGATGAAGATATTGAACAGAACATAGGGAAGTCAACCTCTTGGTCTATGTCTTGTGTCCCAGCACTGGTACTGCTGTGTCTTCCATCTTCTCCAATATTAAGAACCTGACTCCAGTTTAAAAGGCCATGCCATGTACCAAGAAGTTATCTCTTAAACAACATAGAGTGGCATCGCTGTTAGCACCAGACTCTGTACCTTTGAAGAATAAAAACTCTTCTAAAACCAAACCAGAATCATCATTGGTACTGTCTTCTGCAACCAGTCGAGGAAAACGCCCAGACCATGCTTCTGTACTGTCTCCAATACCCCTACATATACTGACTCCTGAGGTTTCCTATCCAGAGCCCCTCGTACTGTCCAGGCGCCTTTCGCAGAAGGACCTTCAGATTCTGAGTCTCCATTGCTGAGAGGTACTGAGACACATTCTCCACTGGTACCAACTTATCTCCCAGAGTCAACTTACCCTCTGGTCGTACCATCTACAATGCTGACTTATCCTCTGGTACCGATGCAGTCACCAGCCCCATACAGGCATTTTGAGGTTACTAAGTGGCATTTTCAGCCAGTACCAACATATCCTCTTGTGGAACTATCTTACCAGCCAGCGAAGTCTCAGCTTCCATACCAATGTGGTTACCAGGCCCTCTCCAGCCCCCGGTACCAGCATAGTCACTGATACCAGCACCATTTGTCCCTCAAGTGGACACAGGAGATGACACTGCATCTGATTCCGAGAAGTCCATACAGGGCTCCTCCAACTTCCCATTCCAGCTTCCCTCCTTTGAGGTGCACCCCCAGGAAGAAATTCCCAGCAGGAGATACACCCAGCAATCTTGGGGTCCTGCCCTTTCTCTTATGCCCCACCACAATGGGCTAATTAGAACCCATGGGCCTGTTATGGCAAGCAGTTTTTCAGGGTTCCATCTCATAAGAGGGCATGTCAAGAGCAGCAATCCCCGACCCTGGTTCCTGCTCGACAGAAGGACTTATAGAGGAGCAAGAGCCAGATGGGGAAGAAGAAAAAAAATCTTCCCATAAATCCTCCTTGCCATACAAGGTTGTTATGCCTCTTCCACTAATGATGTCAAGGCCTTTGAAACTGATCGCAGAGGCCTTGCAAATCCCATTGGAAGAGATACAGGAACCCAACATTCCCTGTTGGACATTCTCCATATGCATCCTCAGGGCAAAATTGCCTTGCCCACCAATGATGCTCTGCTGTCTCCAGCCCTGAAGGTCTGAGGTAAACTCCAGCTACTCTACCACCTACTTGTAAATGTGCTGATTAAAAAATGCAGTATTCCACCCAAAGGCTCAGGGTATTTTTTTTCTCCCACCCTATACCTAACTCCCTGGTTGTCAAGGCCTCTGATGAATGAAACCAACCACATTGGTCCTGCTCTGCGCCATCCGAGAGGGAGCTAAAATGGCTAGATCTTGGCCACAAAAGCTGCTCCTCAGCCTCTTTGCAGTGCAAAGTAGCCATTTACCAGGCCCTGATGGCAAAACATGATTTTACAAATTGAGTTTTTGTCTTTTGAGAACCTGCCGCAGGACCACAGGGAACAATTTCACCCACTGATAATGGAACCCCAGACAATCTCCAAAGCTTCTCTCCTGGTCTTACTCAATGCTGCTAATACAGTTGCATGTTCTGTATCTATGGTAGTGGTCACGCATCAAACGTCTTAGTTCCAGTTTTCCCCAGGAGGTACAAAACACTGCTGAAGACCTTACCTTCAAAGGACCCAAGCTATTCAGTGAGGCCACAGACAGGTCCCTTCATTCACTAAAAGACTCCTCGGCGACACTGTGATCTCTGGGCATCTATATGACTGTGACAAAGAAAATATAAGATCACAGGCGGCTCAACAATCTTGCCCAGTCCACTATCAACCCATGAAACCAGCTGAACCCCCATCTCCCACCAGGAAGAAGCCTAGATTCACCAAGAAGAGGCCATCCTTCATAGTCAACGACGTGCTAGAAGCAACCATTTTGACCTGTTGGGTGAAGGTCATGCACTATTTCCTATTCCGGATCCTACAATGCATCTTTCTCTCATCCACCCTTATGGCGATTCTCTCCACCACTTTCTGTCCTTCTGGGAGCTCATCACCTCAAACAGATGGATCCTGGAGGTGAGTTCTACAGGCTATTCCATCCAGTTCAGCTCATTCTGCGTGCCCTCCCTCCCCGTCCATCTTCAGGGACCCTTCATATGAATCTCTTGAGGCAGGAGGTACAGTTCTACCTAGTCAAACCTGTTCCACTGGCCTTCATCAGGAAATGATCCTATTCCCAGTATTTCCTTGTCCCCAAGGAAAATGGGGGGTTGAGACCAATTCTGGATCTCAGGACTTTAAACGTCTTTATCTACTCTCAACAGTTCAGAATGGTAACTCTAGCAATACTACTTCCCTCCATGGATCCAGAAGATTGGTTGGTTTGTCTCCCTTGACTTTAGGATGCTTATTTTCATATAGCAGGCCACTCCTTGTACAAACATTTCCTACGTTTTGTGGTTGGCACGGACCACTGCCAATATCATGTCCTGCCCGTTAGCCTCTCCACTGTCCCAAGGTCTTTATCAAAGTCCTCTTGGCCATCACAGCCTACCTCTGCCAGATCTTTGCTTACCTGGATGATTGGCTCCTGAAGGGTCACTCGTTTCTTGAAGTACAAACAGCAACCAACAGGGCCCTATTTCTGTTCCATTTCCTGGACCTCTGCCTCAGCGTGGAAAAGTCTACACTCTCACGCACAAAAAACATAGACTTTGTTGGGGCCACGCCAGATTCCTCTACCACCACCAGAGCATACTTGCTAACGGACAGGTTCTCCACAATGTCCAGCCCCATTTCAACAGTACAGCAGAGCCTGCAAACCACAGAAATGGCTTGCCTGCAACTCCTGGGTTGTATGGCGGTCCGTATGTTTGTGACACTCTTAGCAAGGCTACGCTTTGTGTCCTCAAGCCTGGCTGAGAACCATCTACATTTCCAACAACACAGTCTATCCAAGTGAGTGTCGATACATCAGAGAGTTCTCGGTGGAAAGGTCCCCAAATGGTATGGGTGGGAGTTCCATTTTAGCAGCCCCTTCCCACAAGGATCATCTCTACAGATGCCTCCCTGCTAGGCTGGGGAGTGCACTGCCAAGGCTTCCCAGCGTAGGTCAGAGTGGCGCCACAGGAGGCAATCCTCCATATCAGCATACTGGAACTCAGGATAGTGTTACGCTTGCCAGCAGTTCCTTTCCCATGTCAGGGACCACCCAACCTGAATAATGAGGGACAACAGAACAGCAATATATTATCTCAGTTGACAAGGAGTAGCAAGATCCCAGTCGTTATGCACCGAATCCATAAGACTATGGAACTGGTGCATATCACATCACGTACAGATCTCAGTGGTTTACCTACCAGGACTGCAGAATACAGTGGCAGACTCCCTCTGCCTCAACACAAGTGGGAGGTGAAGGATGTGGTATGCCAAAGGACACATCTTACCTGGGGCCATCTGGAGATAGGTCTCTCTATGACACCATCCAATGCAAAGTGCAGATGATTCTGTTCAGGAGGCGAGGGGGCACAGTGGCCACTTGACGGGAGGTGCCCTAGTCATCTTTTGACCCCGTGTAGCTCTGCATGATCATCTCCCAACACCATCACTACTCAAGTTCCTGATCAAATGGAAACAGGAGAAATTAGTAGCCCTCCACATTGCAGCATCATGACCAAGGCAGGAATGGTTTCCAAAGCTTGTTTGCATGTCTCAGCAACTGCCTCCACCTTCCCCTGACAGCAGAGTTCTTCACCCAGGAGATGGGATTGTTCCCTCCCTCCCTCCCCCAACCTTCCCCTCAAGGCCTGACTAGATGGCTCTCTGGTATAGAACAAGACTGCTCTCCAGAGGGACAAACTGTGCTGCTCCATAGTGGAGAACCTACCTTCAGCAGTGGAAACATTTCCATGTTTGATGCAGCCACCAATCTATACTTCCTGTTGAGTCTTGTCTGACATACATTCTTGATTATCTGCTAAAAATTTTAAAAACAGGATTATAGCTGAGCTCCATTATGGTTAGTTTGGCAGCTGTCACAACTTTTCACCCCCTAGTGAGGGATTTTCAGTCTTCACTCATCCAGTGACTGGCATTTATTAAAGGCCTGTTCAACCATCTTCCTCCTCTCAAAGAACCTGCTCCACAGTCGAACCTCATCTTAGTCCCTAATGCGCTCTGGAAACCTCCATTAGAGCCTATGGGGAGCTGTCCCCCTCCAAGGGTGATTGCTCATTCCACCAGGGCCTCATCTACCTTGTAGCCCTACTAAAAACACATGCATCTCAGACACCTTCAAGGCAGTCACTTGGTCTTCGGCATGCCCTTTCCAGCGCTATACTCTCATACCTGCTTTCAGAGCCAACACTGCCTTTGGTGATTCTGTTCTATACTCTCTACTCAATCAGCCTCCTTAGCACCCTTCTCCATAATTGAGGTACTGCTCAGGAATCACCACCTCATGTGGAACACTTTTATAGGGACTCTACTTGAAGGAGAGGTTACTTACCTTCTAAAGTAACTGGAGTTCTTCGAGATGTGGGTTTTCCGCTGCCCGCCCTCCGTTCCCTCTGCCTTGGAGTTTTCTCAGTGTTCTTTTCCAGTTAAGAAAGAACTAGAGTGGCAGCAGGGCCATGCCCTCACCCCGGAGCAATACAGCGTGTTGGTCACAGGCTCTGACCTGCAGATGCTGCTGCTGAAAATCTCTCGTCAAGAGTGCATGGGCATGTCCATGTTCTGGTGTGGAGCACCCATAGGGACGTACTTCTCAAAGAACTCCAGTTACTGTACAAGGTAAGTAACCTCTCCTTTTTTTCGGCTTTCATAGCTCAGAAAAAATCTCCCCTGATTAGCTTTAAATTTGCAAAGAAATTCTCCTCTGGCTGGAGTTTTATTAATTCATGCAGCACTCTCAGCCTGCGTGGCACTTTACAGACATAAAGCGACAGCTTCTAGCGCTGAGGGCCTTGCATCTAAATTTGACATGTCAGAGCAGAGGATGACTATAAATGGCGAGAGCATTAGAACACGGGTTTTAGCTCTTGGTCTTATACACACTTTTTAAAAAGTTTGGTCTTTAATATTAAAATTAGGAACAATCTCTGGCATGACTGTTGGGTGGAGGATAACAATGGAAGGGTTTGGAAGGAAGTGATGCATGCAATATTGCCACACAGAAGAGTGGAGGGAAGGAGGTCAGATTAAGACTTAGAATGGAAACCTGTTATCCTTACTGCTGATCTGCAGTGTCTTACTGTTCTTCATGTATGGCAGTGTGGAGCCCACTGTAGCTGCATGTGCGCCTCATGCACGTGACAGCTGATTTTTGTCAAAAACCGTGTCCTTTGGGGCCACGTTTGCTGCCTATGCCACCTCCTGCCTCTTTACAGGGGCATAAAGGCCAGGGCAGCCATGACGCTCTGTTCTCTCTTACACAGCACTGAGACAGAACCTAGCAAGTGTCCAACCTGCTAGTTCTTAGCTTTTGCTAAATTTCTTCAAACTCTTCCCAAAAACCCCTTCATAACGCTTCTGATTCTCTGATGTACAACCTCCTTGAATTAAATCGACCCACCTGTACTGAATATTTTACAGTCAACATCTCTGTACAGGGATTCTCAAGATGATGGGCTCAAACCTTCAGGCTTCAAGCTGCGCCCAGCCTGCAATGGACTAATTCCTCAGAACTATGGATACAGCAGGTGTCTCGTCTGCTTAGGAGAGTCCCAGAAAACAAGCAGCTGCTCAGTATGCCATTCTTTCTCTGTAAGACCACACAAGCTTAAGGAGGCATGGTTGAAGCTTTGTTTCTTGGAACAGTCTATGAAGATCTCTTCAGATCCTGAGATGAGATTCAGGGTCCAAGTAGCGGACAAGGCAGCTTCACCAGCATCCAGTCTAGCAAAGCAGCAACTCCGAAGACCAGCATGGAGAAGAGACCACTGAGGAAAGATCCGGCACTAAAGCAGGACCACACGAGGGCAGCAGGTGCTATCAGCACCAAAGCAGATGACGACAGTCTCCGGATCAGTCTGGCACTGAGCAGGGCTGCTTCGAACACAGAGGCAGAGCTCAGTATTCTTCCATGAGGACAGACCACCTGATGCTTCAGAAGATAAAGCCACTAAACCCCACACAGCATTTAGGACTAATATCCTGCAGCACAAAATAAGCCTTCTCTGACACTGATCCCAGCTCCAGCACCTCACCCCGAGCATCAACACCGCAGCTGAAGATGAGCTACTAGGAAAGCCAGGGCCATCAGTACTGAGGCATATACCGGTACCAGTGCAAAGCCTTGAGTGCACTGTATACCTTGGCACCAGGGCAGAGCAACAGCAGCATCCTGTTTCATTCCCAAAGGTCCTGTCGTCTTCATCACCCAACAAGGCAGTGATCTCAGCATGAGACGACTTCATAGATTCCAAGGCCAGACAAGCCCATTGTGATAATCTAGTTTGACTTCCAGTAGAACACAGGCTGGAGAACTTCGCCAATGTATTTCCTAGAGCTCCTTATAAGAGTTGCTGAGACTCTGGAGAGAGAGAGACTTCAGTCACATCAGAGAAATCTCATGAGTTGTTTGTTCTGACAGCTCCCAGTCCACCCAGAACCATCCTCTACATAAATGAAGAGTTGCTCGACCTGGCGAAGACCTTGTAATGGTCTTAGTAACAATGACTGCAAAATGGCTGGAGAAACAGTGCCAGGTCCCTCAGCCTGGGTTTGAGTACTTGTGTGCCTATCCCAGTCCAGGCTCCTTAGTCATTACAATGCTCCAGGAAAAATCTAAATCAAACAAGAGAACCCCTAAGGACAAAGACCCAAAACAGCTTAACCTGCTCGGGAGAAAATCTTACTCCTCTGCCTGTTTATAACTTCAGGTGGCAAACTACCCAGCATTCCTGGCCAAAAATGACTTTTTGAGCTGGGGTAGCGTTGACATCTTCTCTCTCAAAATAAGGGCAATAATCAAGAAAGGCCAGTTGGTGGCAGACAACTTTACAGGCAGGAATGGACTTCTCCGATGCTGCAGCCAGATCTATGGACATGGCGGTAACTGTGCACAGAGCATTCTGACTCCAAGCATCAGGCATCGCTAGGGAGGTACGGGCCATGATTGAGGATGCCCTTTGAGGGCACAGACTCAAAGCCCACCTGGGGATTTACACACCAGCCCCATATCACAAGTCTTACCGTCCTTAACCCAATAGGCACCATCCTGTCACTCCGAGCAACCCAAGTACCGTTCCATAAAGAAGCCAAGATACAGTAGAAGTTGTCAGCCTTCTGCCTCAGTGACATGCCCTGACCCTACAGCACTTCAACAGATGTGACAGGACTCGGGAGCCACACTAGTTCCAGTTCAGAGAGCACCCCTTTGGAAGCTAGCTCGCCCCATGCCACTGAGCATGGCCAGCAATGACATCAGACAGATGGGTGCTAGAGATCATCTCCTCCTCCAATTGCACTGCCGAATTCAGAGGAACGGGCTTCTGCTCTGAGTATTTCCTTATACAGAAGAGGGCCTCCATCTTATCCTAGAGCAGAGGAAACTCAACTAATGCACATGCCATCTCAGGTTTAGGATGGTAATGCTCATATCCACCATTCCATCTCTCTAGGATCTAGACTAGTTCTTGGCTCTTGACTTGCAGGATGCATACATCCACATTGCCATCCACCTCGCACACAGGAAGTATCTGAGATTCATATTGGGAGCCAATCATTGCCTATGCAGGTGTCACATTCTGGGGTGCAATCCAGACCAGTGAGAAGTTGTCACTGCCTGCCCCTTAGCCCTGGGTGCCTCACAGTGCTTTGCTGTTGTGGCTTCCAACCAGGGCTACTCACAACTAACCTACCAGCATGCAGGTCACACCCTGAGTGTCTGTGTGCTAGACAGCCCTGGTTCAGCAGCTCTGACCCCAGCAGCCTGTCAACAGCCACGCTTTGGCTTCCACCAGCCTTGATAATTAACCTAGCAGGGTGACCCCAACACAGTCCCAGTCCTGAATTTTCCCAAAACCTGTGTTGTGCACTGTCCATCTCTCTCCTTAAAGTGTAAACCTCAGTTAAACTAGCAAGTTGTATATAAATCCTATTTCAACTACTCCACTGTCACATTCTGGGGTGCAATCCAGACCAGGGAGGGTTTGTCACCACCTGCCCCATAACATTGGGAGCTGGAAATGCAAAGCATTGTGAGGCACTCAAGGCTACGGACCAGGTGGTGACCCAACCTCTCCCTGGTCTAGATTGCACCCCAGAATGTGACAAGAGTACTGCCCCTTGGCCTCTCCACAGCACAGGTTGTAGTCACAAAATGCCTGGCAATGGTGGCAGCACACTTAGGGAATTGATGTATACTTGTGTATGAACTATTGGCTGATAATGGGCAAGTCCCAGCAGGAGATAGCAGCAGCCCTGGAGTAAATTCTCATGAAAGCTCCTTCACTGGAGGTTTTCAAAAGGAGGCTGGATAGCCATCTGTCTTGGATGGTTTAACACAACAAATCCTGCATCTTGGCAGGGGGTTAGACTAGATGACCCTTGCAGTCCCTGCTAACTCTGTGGTCCTATGAAATGCTCTCTCTGCTCTCCTGGTGAGGAGTCTTTGTGAACTACGAAGCTGGGAATGGGTGACAGGGGATGGTCACTTGATGATTACCTGTTCTGTTCATTCCCTCTGAGGCACCTGGGCATTGGCCACTCTTGGAAGACAGAATACTGGGCTAGATGGACCTTTGGCCTGACTCAGTATGGCCGTTCTTATGATAAATCATCTGTCACCATCACAGACAATAGACGAGTCTAAAAGAGGTTTTACTGCATAATGGCAATGTTTTGCCATCAATTCCAGTTGGTCATGCAGTCCATATGAA